TCAATAAATATATTCGATGCTTATCGAGTATTATAACTGTATTTGTTTTTGTTCAGTGTGAAATAATTTTTAAAATATTCTGGTAAAACATTCCTAAAGAACGAGTACATAAAGAGTGATATATATATATATATATATATATATATATATATATACACCTAATTGCAAAAACGTTGTCATGGAAAAAAAAACAAAAAGCAAAAAAGCCAAATAGGAATAAATTAGCCATGTGATTTACATTTGCATATTTTAATTCAGTATTTAACAATTATTTAAGAATTCATTCACAATAGCAAGAGATGATTCTGTAATTCCGCGCTGTAAGATAGACAGGCGCCATAGTCATTTTAGAGCCAACATTCTCCATCAAAAGAAGTCGCACAATTCGAGAAAGAAAAAAGTAAATTAACGCGAGCAATGTTATGTCTCAGTTGTCGCACGTTCAGTTGCCAATCTATTATGTCCTGACAAACGAAGCTTGGTTTGTGGCTCAGGTGAGGAACTGGCGGAGGACCCCCTCACCCTCTCCACAATGAAAAGTCCTGTCTACCCCCCTGATTTGTTGCTTGAAAATTGTGATCAGATGGTGTTGTGCATTGCAAACCATACGCAGACTGGCTTTTCTATTTAGCACTAATCTAAAACACGCGTTGAGTTCCTCGAATTTACCCCAGGCTATATTTATTGAAAAAAAATGAAGCCATTATTTCTTTGGTAGTTATCCGATATGCTTTGTAATTCGAGCACGTTTGAAATTCGCTAGATGATTCAGCCTTGAATTGCATAAGAATGACAGTAAGAAACTGATGCAAATGATTTTTCTCATATTACGTGATTAATATTCAGCTGTAAGCGTGTGTGTTGTGAATGTTGCAAGCTATGATAATTACATGCTAATTAATTCCTATTTAACTTTTTGCTTTTTTCTATGACAACCTTATTGCGATTAGGTGTGTATATATATATATATATAGCTCATATACATTAAGAAGTTTAAGAGACAGAAATAAAGGTCTAGATTCATCTTTATATTTTGCAAAGGTCATTATTCTTACTACTTTTTTTTCTGTACTGTTAATACCGATTTTAGCCTTGTAGGGTAAGTGCCTGTCCATATAATACAACAATATGTTAAGTATGGATACACCGTAGTATTATACATCGTCGTTAACATTTGGAAGATAATAGGGCCATTTATACGAGGAAAAATAAGACGCATCTTAAATAAGACGCGAACTGTACCATTTATACGAGCATGTCTTATCTGATAAGACGCGTCTTAGCTAAGCCGCGTCTTATCTTAGACGAAATGTGCCGTTTATACGGAAAGTTCGCGTCTTATTTAAGACGCGTCTTATGTAAGACGCGTCTTATTTTTCCTCGTATAAATGGCCCTAATGTCTCGGCTGTAACGGCTACCACGCGTTATTCCCGAATATTGATTCGTTATTGATTTAATTTGTATTGTATTACTAAACCGCGAGATGACGTTATTCCTTGTCCATTAGGGACGTGATTATTTAGTTCCGCTCAAACCGCATTTTTGTTAGTTGGCTTGTTTGGGCAAACGATAAGTCGTGTTCGTCGTTAGTACAGTTTGCCAGTTTATCTTTGAAGTTGTTTGGCCAAGCTCTTACAGGCGGGACTGTTATGTAAGTGTTTAAGTTTCTCTTTTACACCTAACCTTTTCGATAGACTCCTTTAGCTTACACCAGTTTTTTCGTCGCATGTTTTCCTCAATTATGTTTCCACGTGGCATAGGTTGGTTGATGTTACTTAAAATGTTACTCACCTTTCACTTGGTTATTAGTACGTTTTAGAGTTTGTTTTTCAGAATCTTTTCAGTAATTTGTCTCTTTTGTTTTTATATAGTTTTATTTTTTGTTTGTATTTCGACCTTATTCTACGGATCTTTATAGTACATCGAACTGTTTTCGCTTTGTTATTAGATGTATCTTTTTATAATCTCGAATTTTGTACTTGTTAATTCGTTTTCGATTATTTCCTTAAGTCTTGATTCGTTTTACCTTCTTCGGCTTAGACTTTTGCAACTTTGCAATGGAATGATTGGAATGTAGTTTGTATGTTAGCCTTTTTTGTATTTCATGTTTCAGTTTACGATAAGGACCTGGATCCTATGATCACGTTGAATAAACGATTCAAGACTCCTGTCCGTAAAATATTTCCTCGCGTGATAGTGTGTTGTCGCTTGCGAGCTCAAGGTCGTTGTCGTAAATTGCTTCGCTTGTGTTGGCCGCTACATCGCCTTCATTCATATCATTTTCGATATTTTTTGTTGCAACTAGATCAATATGATCTTCTCAATAGAGTTCCTCATTCATATTTTGGCCCAAAAATTTGGTGCATTTAACTTGATTAATTATTTCACCATTTACTTGACCATTAATTTAAGAACCATTTAACGTTTGGTGAGTTGATATTCATTTTAATACTTTAACAATTTGTTTATTTTGACCAGATGTCAGAGGGAAAGAAGGGGAAAGTAAAGTGAATCTATAGCATGAGGATCGACTCAGCTGTGCGCAGTTTTTCGCGTTTTCATTATTATTAATAGTAATAATAATAAATGTCTTTATTTCGCCCGTTAAAATACATAACAAACGTTACAGAGAGTAAAAGTATACAAATCATGAAAATCGCAAGAGATTTACGATTTTCAGTAGCAATAGCGAATAGCGTTAATTCTTTCTTCAAGATTAATTAGGCATCCACCCGCGGGCTGCAGCATTTAGCCTTGGCTTTTTTCTTCAGCAGAGCTTTGGCTAGCGGAGCCATCCATTGTGGATCACGCGTAGACTGCATACGCACGGGCTTAGCTGGAAAATTGTGCTTAATAAGGTCACGGAGTTTAGAAGTTCTAGAAGTTTTGCATGAAACGCAATTTTTCTATGCTCCCTGTAATCGTGCATTGTGCCTTTGTATCTCATGGACTTAAGTTTCGCGCCTGCAGGCACATTAATGTACATTAATGTACGGCAATACCCAATTTCGCACAAAAAATAGTCTAAGTTTAGGATTAAAAGAGTAGATTCTCGGTACCTTTAAACTGAAGCATTCAAAATAGCTCATGCACGTTAAAGGTGCCTATTTATTCTGCTTCGCCCATTTAAAAAGCAAGCACATCAAAGTGCTGGTTTCATCGTTTGTGGCTATGAAAACTGAAAACGGAAACCAGTGCAAGTTAGCCTGCGTTACCGTAGCAAGGGTTTCATTTGCAGTTGACTTAAAAGTAGCGGCATAACCTTCCTTGCCCGCTTGTAGTATGCCTTCCTTCTCCACATGATGCTGGCGTTGGGGCGAAATAGACTACGTGTCCAGCCAAAGGAATTATGTTTGTGTGTGAGGCAAGGAGCTGGGACTACTGTTTTATGCTAGTCCGCATTCCCTTTCTCTCAGTTTTACCTTTCTAAAGCTGTTTTTGTATACACAGTCCGTAGTCCGCGTTTTATACCTCGTCCATGTTTTATGAGGTCTTTTATTCCCAATCCGTAGTTTCTAGTCCACATTGGGGGCGGCCATGTATTAAAAGGCATGAAAAGAAATTCATAGAGACCGATACGAACTCATGTCAGTCTGAGTTAGTACCGATAGTAGTCTTTACACTAGGCGGATTGGCCGTTAAGTAAGACTTAATTAACAGTTAATGAATGAGGCTGAGTATCTTACGAAGAATTATGGAGATCGAGGAGGGTGTTATCCGTCGAGGCCGTAGGCCAAGGCGGATAACACCTTCCGAGATCTCCATAATTCTTCATATGATACGAAAGCCGAATTCAATAACTGTTTTATTATTCATTCAAAATAATTCCTAGTTTAAAAACATAGCTAAAACATGCTTACCTCCATCGATCCATCGATCGGCATCGATGTTCAGTTCATCTTCGATAGTGTATGTTTAGGTTTGTTCAGCTCCGCAAATATTTTCCAAATAGCAGATGTCGCCCTTCGAGTTGTCTTCTTGCTGTTCTTGCCATGTTTTTAGCTATTTTTTCGCCTAGTTCTTACCCTTGAAACGAGTGAAATGTCCGCCATTTTTTCAAGTTCACAACCAAAACAACTCAACCTCGTTCCCAGGTCTTCTCGGTCAACGGTGCCTTAACCTGCACGAACGCTGCATTTTTGACGTCATTTCCCCGTTAAAGTCAAATTTCTTCCAAATTTGGTCATCAGTAACTGGTTATGGTGAATTAAACGTGTGCTTTTAACCAATCAGAATCGGGGAAATATTTTGAATGAATAATAATACCTACTAAGTTTTACTTAACCAAAGATACCTGAAGGCCTTGGTAATAACCTCAAGTTAATTATCTTTACATCTCATTAAAGTCGGAAAGTTGAAACGATTCAAGACAAGTTTCAAGTGACTTGAAAACCAAGACTTTGCGAGCTTGCGTTTTCTTGAGCTTTGAGAAAGGTGAAGCATGTCAATCAATCTTAATTATGTTGCGTGGGAAAATAGCCTTAAAGTTAACCCAGGGCTGTCAACACCCCACGTCCTCAAATATTAAGAATTGATAGGGAACTAAGGGAAGGGATAATAGATGACGTCATAACGCACGGTACATGACGTCATATTTGCAGAAAAACTCGTTAATTCCTATGGCCACAAAATTTGCGATGACACAAAACGCGGGAAAAAGATGTTGTTGGCATAATAACATTGACCTGATTGGTTTACTTCCAACCAATCACAAGTTACAATGGCATAGCGGAGTTTATGATTACTAAAACAAGGCAAAATAGTTGGGTCTACTGACATGAAGAAATGGCAAACTTCGGCGACTATCCGGGAGATTTCATACTCTAATCTGGAGACCGGGAGATACGGTCCAAAATCTGGAGTCTTCCCGATTATACAGGAGAGGTGACAGCACTGGTTAACCTGAAGTAAAAAAGATAGCTTTTGTGTGAAGTTTTTTTTTACTTGAAGAGTTTAAAACTTACTTGTCTTGAAATATTCCTTAGCTTATTTGGCTCTAGTGTGAAGACTACCAGCGGTCTCACGTAAATACCCGCTAAATATATCTTCACGGGAGGTTGTCTCTGATTGGTAGTCGTTCGCCAAGCCTCGCCAAGCAGCACCACAGGTAGCCCAGCTAAAGCCTATACAGACTTACAGTACAACCTATAAAACGGCCGATAAATCGGCCCATAGACCACACAGGAGAGACGTATCACACATTTCATGTAAGGCAAGCTGTTTTTTTATTGAAATTCTTTCATTTTCGTACGTTACAGAAACGATAGGTTTTTTCCCCATACAAATCCTTATATTTTGAATGTTACGTAACAACGCCGATGCTCGCCGATGCTTGCCTTCGAGGTTGGGCTATCTGTGGTGGCACCGGTTCACCGGTTCACGGTTCGCCGGTTCTTAGTTTGGTCGTGACCATGAAAACTGAAAGCCAACGGCTCTTCTTCTGTTTTCAGAACTGCATCACTGTGACTCAGTGTGGACATTTGTTTCTTATGCCGAACAGTTGTCATCTTTAGGTCCTTGAGTTTTACTCTGTAGCAGTTTCTTCATGGCGCTAGACTTCGTGGCGGGATGCCTTGGAGGTTAGTTCAATGATGAGGCTTTAGCTTAAATTAATTTTGCTACCGCGGGGATTTGTGAAAAGAAATTAATTTGTGCGATTGTGGTTAATACTCATTCTGTTTATCAGGACTATCTGGAATTGTAGTTGGCCATCCTTTCGACACTGTAAAGGTATAAAGTGATTTTTAATAGCTGTTAATAGTAGCTCTTCACGGGCCAACTTTTTCTGTCCACACATGCGGTCGAGATCGATATTTTTCGTTTGAATTGTTTTATTTTCCTGGCTTCACATTTTTAGGTTCGCCTTCAAACTCAAGTAACCAGACGATACTCCGGGACAGTGAATTGTTTTGCTCAGATAATAAAGCAAGAAACGGTAAGACGAGACAGAGGATTATTTAAGCTTAATGGCGCGGCCTATTCATAAAATTGTATGCAGCGTTTGTTGTTTACACGCAACAGGGTAGACTTGCTACAGGTCATAGGAAGTTGATAAATTTACGTAATTTCCTAGTATGCGACAATATTTAACTGTTCTTGTGGTCTCTGTGGTATACTGACGTTTTTCAAGTGGCGTAGTTTGCCGGGTGATACGAGTGAATATTTTTCTTGGCAAACCTTCGAAAGAATTAGCGAAAAGACACTCGACACTCGATGAAATTTGATTGAAAGGAATAGTTTGTGTATCGTTTGTACTTTGTATTGCCTTCCTTGCTTCTAGAGACTTCTGGCTGTTTTTTCTATTCAAATCTTGCAAGGCTTTCATTGTGTCCTCTGACTTGCAAATCCAGCATCATTGTTCTCTAACGGTTTGATGAAAGGGCTGGGGTGTAATAAAGTCCAAGGAAATGTTACAGATTTTATATGGAAAATCTAAAGCAAGCCACTGGAGAAATTTATGCACAGGCACGCCCCGAAAATTTTTTAGCACAATTCTTTGCTTTGTAGCTTTATTTAACAATTGATATTTTTTTCAGAACAGCCTTTTTACGGAAATTATTTGACATTAGATTCTCATACAAACACTGTAATTTCTCACACATTTGCCTACTCGTCAAGATGGCGTCGAAAACCGTGACGAGGTCTGTATACGCAAATATGTAGCATGGAATTGACATCTCAATTCTTAGATGCATATGATGATAGTGAAAAGATAGATGATACCAGATATGTCCCTAGCTCAAATATGAGCCCCTGGTTAGCTGTATTGGATAAGTGCCAGTCTGTCGAGTGGGAGACCAAGGGTTAAAACCACTCATGGTCTTTATGAATAACTTAGAAGAATAAGGTGCCTTAGTGGTGAAATCTACAACAGTTGGAATTTCTAGTCTTCTCAGACATGGATAATAAACTGCTGGTTAGTCCTGTTTCACAACTCTTGCTCACTTAGAATATGTTGTTTGTATAGAGCGGGGATGTGTCCCCCAGTGTGGTCGTCATATATATCTTTGCAAGCATGTGGTCTGCATGGCTGGATTAGCTTGAAGGGCTTCTTATTGAATGAGATCATAATGAGATCAGGGGTACCCAATGAGAATATAGTTCAAAACCACTTAAATATAGCATTGTTGAACGTATTTTAGTATTTAAACGGTAGATATAGGTATATTTTTATGCCATAAAACTTTTTCATCTGTTTGGATTTGCTAGCTGAAAGTCTTTGATCGAAAGTTATAGGGATCAAAACTTACCTTTTCGAAAATAATTTCAGCCAGAAAAAAGGCTCCCGAAAATTCTAGGTGACATTTTCAGGGTAAAAATCAGTTAAAAATGGGCAATTATACCATTTTTGGGGGGTTCGGAAAACCTAGGAGAGGCTGCCAAGCAAGAAATTTAACAACAAATGCTCTGAAAATTCTAGATCCCAAATAATCTTCCGAACAGATATTTTCCAAAAATTGTTGTTGGGTGCCCTCAATGAGATGATAATGTACATACAGTTAACTCTCTGTTAACGGACACCTATATTGGATGGACACCTCTCTTGGTCCCAGCCGTTTTTCAGTCATTTTACTGTAACTACACTCTCTATAAGACGGACTTATATCTAAGCTGGACAACAGACACTTGAATCCATCAATGGACAATTGGGAAGTGCTTTATGTTCTAAAAAATAGCCCAAAACGGAAATTCAGGTGCTATCTAAATGACCGTAAATTGTAAAATGGTTGATATTTTGAAGTCTTGCTCAAAGTGTATACTGCCATGATTTTTGAGCATAAAGCTGTGAACGTTTGTTTGTAATAGCGTTTGATTGCACAATGAGAAAATAATTCCACTTTTCTGTTACAATGTTCCAGTTTAAGCTGTTTTTTACAAGTTTAACAGACATTATTCATTGCGAATAGGTTCAGCTGTAAAAATTAACAGTGTCACATTGTAATAAAGTCCAAGGAAATGTTACAGATTTTATATGGAAAATCTAAAGCAAGCCACTGGAGAAATTTATGCACAGGCACGCCCCGAAAATTTTTTAGCACAATTCTTTGCTTTGTAGCTTTATTTAACAACTGGTATTTTTTTCAGAACAGCCTTTTTACGGAAATTATTTGACATTAGATTCTCATACAAACACTGTAATTTCTCACACGTTTGCCTACTCGTCAAGATGGCGTCGAAAACCGTGACGAGGTCTGTATATGCAAATATGTAGCATGGAATTGACATCTCAATTCCTAGGTGCATATGATGATAGTGAACGGATAGATGATACGAAATATGTCCCTAGCTCAAAATATGAGCCCCTGGTTAGCTGTATTGGATAAGCGCCAGTCTGTCGAGTGGGAGACCAAGGGTTAAAACCACTCGTGGTCTTTATGAATAACTTAGAAGAATAAGGTGCCTTAGTGGTGAAATCTACAACAGTTGGAATTTCTAGTCTTCTCAGACATGGACAATAAACTGCTAGTTAGTCCTGTTTCACAACTCTTGCTCACTTAGAATATGTTGTTTGTATAGAGCTGGGATGTGTCCCCCAGTGTGGTGGTCTATCTTTGGAAGCATGTGGTCTGTATGGCTGGATTAGCTTGAAGAGGGCTTCTGATTGAATGAGATCATAATGAGATCAGGGGCACCCAATGAAAATATAGATCAAAACCACTTAAATATAGCATTGTTGAACATATTTTAGTATTTAAACGTTAGATATAGGTATATTTTTATGCCCTAAAACTTTTTCGTCTGTTTGGATTTCCTAGCTGAAAGTCTGTGATCGAAAAATTAGAGGGATCCAAACTTACATTTTCGAAAATTTCAGCCAGAAAAAAGGCTCCCGAAAATTCTAGGTGACCTTTTCAGGGTAAAAATCCGTTAAAAATGGGCAATTATATCATTTTTGGGGGGTTCGGAAATCCTAGGAGAGGCTGGCAAGCAAGAAATTTAACAACAAATCTTCCGAAAATCTAGATCTCAAATCGTCTTCCAAACAGAAAAAAAATTGTTGTGGGGTGCCCTGAATGAGATGATAATGTACACACAGTTAACTCTCTATTAACAGACACCCATATTAGATGGACACCTCTCTTGGTCCCTGCCGTTTTTCAGTCATTTTACTGTAACTACACTCTCTATAAGACAGACTAATATCTAAGCTGGACAACAGACTCTTGAATCCATCAATGGACAATTGGGAAGTGCTTTATGTTCTAAAAAATAGCCCAAAACGGAAATTCAGGTGCTATCTAAACGACCGTAAATTGTAAAATGGTTGATATTTTGTATTCTTGCTCAAAGTGTATACTGCCATGATTTTTTGAGCATAAAGCTGTGAACGTTTGTTTGTAATTAGGGTTTGATTGCACAGTTAGAAAACAATTCCACTTTTCTGTTACAATGTTCCAGTTTAAGCTGTTTTTTACAAGTTTAACAGACATTATTCATTGCGAATAGGTTCAGCTGTAAAAATTAACAGTGTCACATCACCTTGACTCTTTACAAGCTGGACATCTCTCAAAGACAGACAGTCAGCACTGGTCTCGAGGGTGTCCGCCTTAGAGGGGGTTGACTTTTGACTGTCAGCCTATTTTCTGGGCACTGGAACCCTCTCTCAGGAACTAAGGAACACAAGAATGATCCATACAGAAACTGTGTGTTCATTGTACAATAGTCAAAATAGAAGGATTCATATGGGGAAACCAATGTGGTTATACAAATAAGGAATGAATTCTGAATAAGAAAAACTGCATACCTCATTTTTACCTAGCTTCGTGATTGTGCTTCTTGCGCAGTTTGCTGGTCAGTGATTGACATTTTTGTTGAGTGGATTTAGATTTTACTGTTTCCTTCTCCATTCACCCTTTCCCCAGCAGGGCTGTCATTAATGGTCAGGGATCAGTGATTTCCACCAGCTGTTATGAATATGACTTGTGGCAACTTCGAAGGTCACAACTTTTAAAGGAAAATAGATTACCAAATGAACCTCCTAGATGTTAAAATTCCCACGCATTGAGTGCATTTACATTGGCAACTTGAAATTTTAAAGACAGCCCTGCCCAAGGTTGGATGGTTAAACAAAGTGACTGTTACTAAGTCGATGCACTGAAGGAAAACAGCTATAACTTTTTGACTTGATAATCTCTGTTATCTTGAAATCCTACGAAAGGGGTGTTGGATTGTAAAATCTGTGACTCACCAAGACACAGAGAAGTTGCAAAAAATCTAGAATTTGCAGCAAAAAGGCTTGTGAAAGAATCACAGTCTCAGTCTCATTCCAACCACTCAAAATACATCATGGATAAGAATTTTGTGTTTATTTTATCCTCCTGATAGCACCAGGTGCAAATTCACCGAGAGACAATCATTGTCTTGCAGTCTCTTCACCAGTTCTGTGTGAAATGAAAAGCAACCTATAACAGGCACTTTCTCTGTCCCAGTGAAGAGTTAGTTTATTTAACACTTTAGTTTAATAATCGCTGCTTTAGAATCTGCTGGTCCCTTATGACTTATTTTTGCTAGTTGGCAACTAGAAAATGTATGTTTTTGCTGCATGCTCTGATTCTTGGTACCCTGGATTTTCTAGGTTCAGTGCTTGTGGACTCCTTCAAAATTTTTTTTTCTTCTTTAAGCTCATCCCTGAGGGGCATAGTTGTTTTAGTATTTACCAAATCGTTTAATGGATAAGAATGAAAAATTGTGTTCTTTTAAAAATGGAAGATTTCAGTGAGAAAGAGCTTTGTTTACTTTTTAATTGCACTTCTTAATGTAAAATATTTGGGTATTTTGTCTGGTGTCTTTTCATGATTTTGTTTCAAATTCAGTAAGAAAATAATTTTCCAGCCACTAACAAGACAAATTGTGTTGTTTTCTTGGTATTTTTGGATATGAGCTGCATCCTTCATCACTAAATATTTTTTTTTAAGAAACTGTTGTAAAACAAGATGTGGGGCTCAAAATTAATTTTTTTGGATAACTAGCCCTTTGGGTTAGTGGGCATAAATTTGACTAACCAAATTAGAAAGATTGTTACCTATGGATGGATTGGTTTCAAACAGTGTTTGTTTAGACTCATCAATCTGTAACCAGGTGAATGCCTTTTTTCATTCTTCACGGAAAATTCCTTCTTCTTGTTTTCGCTTTTCTTATAAAAAATTTGTACCACTTTTGAAGAGCCTTCCATAGCGTTGTAAACTGTACTTGTTCTTTGCTGTTTTTCACAATCTTACATTTCCTCTTCACAACTTTAGTGCAGCCACCTCGTTCTGCAAAAGCTTTCCAGGGATCTCTGCATCTAATGTGTATAATAAATAGGTTGAACAAACGAGCCACTTCCAAAAGAAAAAAAAAACACAGAAATTATGCAAATGTTTGGACAATCATTGAACCAATCGAAATCACTACATGGTTTTCTGGTCGTGACGCCACTGCGTGGCATTAACAGCTGGTCGATTCAGACATTAGTGAGGGAGTGAAAATGACTAGAAGTAATCTTCTGAAATTCATGCTACGGCTTTAAATAATAATTTATTATCTGTTTCTCCCATGACAGGTATCTGGTCTGTACAAAGGCATGTTATCTCCAATGGCAGGGGTAGGCCTCATAAACGCCATCATATTTGGTGTGCAAGGTAATGTTTTGCGGTTTCTGGAGCCAGGGCTATCAAGCCAGTGTATTGCTGGTGGAATTGCAGGTGCTGTTCAATCGATCGTCTGTTGTCCAATGGAGCTGGCAAAAACCCGTGTACAAGTTCAGAACTTGGCAGGAAGAACTGGGCAGAGATACCATGGCTCATTCGATTGCTTACAAAAAATTTACAAACAAGGTGGAATTAAAGGCTGCTACAGGGGTATGGCTTTGACTCTTATAAGAGAGACTCCTTCCTTTGCTATTTATTTTGCAACCTTTGAATTGTATTGCGCTGCATTGATACCCAGAGGCCAAGACATGGATTGTATCGGACCTCTTGGACTGTTATTTGCTGGAGGAATGGCCGGCATCTCTTCTTGGTTTTTCACTTATCCAATAGATGTTATAAAATCAAGATTCCAGGCAGATGGTGATGGAAGAGATCGCAGATACCAAAGTATACTGGATTGTGTTAGAAAGACATACCGAAGTGGTGGGTTACATGCCTTTTCACAGGGACTTACTGCCACAATCCTTCGGGCATTTCCAACTAATGCAGCCACATTTGCAACAGTTACAATAACTCTTAGATTTGCAAGAAGCTATGACAAACAGCTTGAACTTGCTTAATTATTTTTCTAATTACATACAGAGGGATTTAACATTGGTATGTGACTTTTGAGGGAATGAAGTTTAAGGGGGTTCATTCTGCAAATTTTTTTTAGTGCAACAAGGAATGTTCTCCCTGTTTTTCAGTCCAACATGTGTAAACAGGCCTTGTTGAAAGCCCTCTTGCTCCTATTTCTGGTTATAATTTGCTTAAGACAAGGCGTTTTAAAGCATGGCGAGAACATAATACTGAGAAATATTTTTGATAAATTCAATTTTGTAATTGTGCAGCCTTTAAAAAAAGGACAAGACAACTTGTTTTACTAACAAGCCAGCTACATATTATGGTAATGGATAAAGGCTAAAGATGCATAGAAAATATTTTTTATTGACTACTAGCTGTAACATATTATTGTACAGCATCTTCTAACCAAGATGTGATTATCACTTATTGTTAGCAAATTGAACTGTTAAAATCCTCATATTAACAACCTTTATTTGATTATCACAACTCGATGTTTCTTGCAGGTTCATAAAAGTAAGTTGTCGCTAAAAGATTTAAAAGCAGTCATTTTGAGTGTAGCTCTTCATTGGTGTGAGGTCTCTAAGTTAATGTGAAGGGTTTCCAACAAAATGTTGCTTTTGATTCTCTTTTTAGTGGACATTAAATGTAATAAAACGACGGAATTTTGCATTTTAAATTTAACAAATAAGTTAATTAGTGGAAGTAGATGAGATGTTTCATGTTTGACATAAGACTGGCAGACAGCTGGTTCTGAATAACCTAGTCATATTCCAGCAATTAGTCAGCTCTCTCTAAGTGGACACTTCTATAACATGAGGCTACATTTTACAGACAGTCATCAAACAATGGCCCCCCAGAATTTTCTCATGTCTAGCTTTTAATTCATCCATGACTTTACCATTTTTAAGATGAACTAAAATCCTCTGGAACAATTAATGTCTCATAACTTCCTTACAACTTCATGTACTTTGCTTGATGTTGGACTGCATCAGTTTTTGTCTTGTATGACCAAAATGATGAGTTCTTCAGAGATTTGTGCTTACATAAAAAATGAATTATCTTTTGCCCTAAAACTGACCCATAGAGGTGTTTCTTTCATCTCTTCTTTCTCACGTTTTTAGGACTTCTCGTACACCTCTGTAAACCTGTCCCATGCTGGTGATGTACATCTTTGAGAAAGTTGACTGTACTTCTGATATTTTATGTAAAAGGAATTTAAATTGTGGGCTCAACTTAAATTAAGCCCACCACACATTATGCTACATTGTGGATTATACCATTCCACCCCCCCCCCCCTTTTATTGAGAGGACGGAACCGCTATTAAAGTGATATACATAATTTCTCCATACCAAATTTATGTGGTGTAACATTAAGAATTTCTCAATATTCTTGGGTAAAATATTATTTTATTTATAGTTTAGTGCACAAGGCAAGTTTAGTCATTTAAGAGGTTGAGGGGCCCCTTTGCACTAAAGTAAAATATTTTGTTTGTCTCTACATAAATAGTGAAAGATTTTTGGGAAACAACATCTCAGCCTCCTGTTAAACCATTATTGTTTTTGGTGACAAGAGATGATGTAGAATAATATTATATGTCTGTTGTAGTTAATTTTTTATCTCAGGTAATTTTTGTTTTTCTTTTGTTTTTGGGTATGATAATGTATGCTAACGAAGTTGAAACAAAGGAAAAATAAAGATTACCTGAGATAAAAACTTAACTACAACATGTCCATTCACCATTTTCACATAGACCTTCCCCCACATATTTTGCTTAACCATTTTTTCCAATTTCTCCTGAGTATTACAGTCGTCCCAAGGAAATCGAAGGCAATGGTCATGCCAAATTTTGAGGGTAAACAAGGTACATTATGGTGTATGTGAAAATGGTGGATATTGTTTATTCCTTTCTGAACACCAAGTGCTAGCATCCAAAACTCTGCCTTATAACATGCCTTAGTGGCACTTAAAAAATGATAGACTGGTCGTTGTAATGTTTTTTATTGTTTTTGGCATTTGATCCCGAGATTGAAAATTAAGTAGAATTTCAAAGTGGTTTTTGCACTTTTTAAGCACAATTTTTTCACCAGAAAAATAAGTCATTTCTGAGTTCCCCTCAGGCCTCTGTTTCAAAACGAGGGTAGCCTTTGATATGGAAATCATTTTTCACTCTCATGCAAATAAAACTCATTTTCACAAGAAAGAGTGTGCACCTAGCCTCATTTTGAAAGTGAGTGTTTTTGGAACTCGGAAGTGGTCTATTGCTTTAAGTGCAGATGGGCCCTTAGTCTAGTATAAAATAATATTTTTGAATATTTTAAAAAGTTGTAATAGGGTAACTTTATTTATTTCTCCTGTAATAAAACTTGCCTGAGACCATTTTTGTGTACAAAAAGAGGTAAATTTATTATACTTTGATATTTAGACAGTATGTAAATGATGAAGGGTTTGTCTTATTTGCTATTTGCACATCCCCCTTAATACACCTTGTTTACTGCCCCCCGGCCCCCCCGCCAAGTTGTTCAAAAGGTGGATAATGCTATCATCTGGATAAATCTCTATTCAGTGGATAACATAATTGGTTTCCCCAGTACTTACTGCTGGATAGTGATTTATGCGATGGTTAGCGCTATCCAGCATTTGAACAACTGGGTCCAGGATATTACAGTAGTCTCAAGACAGACTGAAGACAGTGTTTGTTTATGCAAAGTTTTAGGAGACAAACAAGGTGGTGACTTTTTCAAGATTGGACCGCCGCCCGGTTAGCTCAGTTGGGACAGCGCCGGTCTGCTGAGCGGGAGGCCGTAGGTTCAAACCCCGGCCGGACCAACACTCAGGGTCTTTAAATAACTGAGGAGAAAGTGCTGCCTTTGTAATAACATCTGCAAATGGTTAGACTTTCTAGTCTTCTCGGATAAGGACGATAAACCGTAGGCCCCGTCTCACAAGCCCTTGCACATGTAATAAATCTGTGGGACGTTAAAGAACCGACACACTCTTCGTAAAGAGTAGGGCACGTAGTGCCCGGTGTAGTGGTCTATCTCACTTTCACACTCATGTATGGGGGCATCATCACTCATTCCTTCAGTACTTGTAAACTGCACGCTAAGCAGTCTGACAAAGTCCCCCAACCAGTGTTGTAAATTATCCCTGAAAAGCCATGAGGGGAGTGGATAATAAGATATTTACAATTTACAATTTACAATTACTACTGGGAATTCTTGGTGTGTGTGTGCCTCCCGGTTTTCCAAATCCTGACCCTATTTCAGACCAAAAAATGCCATTTTTCACACCCGTTTTCAGATCTGACCTCTGAGAAATTATGTCATCATTACCAGTGTGATTACTTCGATTAGAACGCGGACAAAAAGATTTCTTAAAATCCATTTCGAATTCGCACATTTCTCTTTCCTTCTTATTGATTTCAGTGGAATTGAAACGATAAACACGTTCACACACTTTCCCGTAGCTTCCACGAAAACTATGAAGTTTAAAATCCCAGCAAATCAAGCTTTAGTCTAATCAATGTCAACTATGAATTAAGTCTTCTTTTTGTCAAGTTATCCCAGCCAAGATCGAGTGCCTCGGTAGCAGATAGTGCCTTTGCATAATATCGAGCAAGATTGTGACAGCTAAATTTTGTTTTACTCGTCTTTTCTATCAGATTCATAGTACATAGTATTAGTTTTGTATCCCATCAGACACCCGCATTAGGTCTCAATACGTTCAAGTTATGGCACTATTATTACTGTGTACCGCAAGTCCGATGATGAGATGTATTTTTCTTGGGGTGTAGCTACCAGTACGCAACAGTACGCACGTTTTAAGAAGTCGAGGGTGAAAAAATGGAATAATATGAAACAAAATCAATAAAATCAAAACGCGAATAATAAAAAAGCAAACGTTTTTAAAAAGCACATTACTTTTTCCTCAAATGATTCAATTCTGCTCTTTCCTTTTCTATACATATGTATTTTTTTTCTGAAACGGCAGACTATTTTTTTTACAATCGAATGTGGGTTTTCAGAGAAGCGATGGGATTCATTGGTGGACTGAATCTTGAATAATATATTTAGAAAATTGTGCGTACCTCTAGAAACGCTGGCTTCGCCCTTGTTGTCAGCATGCACTTGCACGTAAAGCGTTGGGCCCCTTATGTAGTATTTGAGTTGTGATGAAGATCAGTGTAGTACCGCGCACCGACGCCAGCCGCGTAGTTGTAGACAACCAGATGAGAAAAAGATAAATGCAGATGGAATGGTGATAAACAACCACAATCAATGCTCGGAAATTCGGCAGATACATATGTTTGGACCTGGTTAATGGTGTTTGGATAAAAATAAAAATATATATATATTTTTACAGAAGTTTTGTAAATTTCCCTGTTTTTTACTCGGGAGCAGGATCCATTTCTTTTCGTTAGTCAGATGGGTTTAATTTTTCCCGCGTATTTTTGTGCTTGCGAAATGTGTAGTACTTTTCGATTGGCCGTCGAGCACGTCTGTACTCGATGCTGATTGGTTCGATTAGTACCATTACCACGTGGTCTGTTGGTTTTCGAAGTGAGGTTGATATTTCAGTTGACAGAGAGCACCCCCCACGAAGGTAGCTTCGGACGCCAACATGGCCGACTTAACTGGTGTGGCAGAAGTCGAAGTTGAGGTGGAAACTATGGTTGAACCTCACCAAGAAGTTCAGATTGAGACACAGCCGATGATAGCCCTTCAGCCTCTGACCGAGCCTGAGAACGAAGAAATCGTAGTTCAAACAACGGAAGAAGTTATCGAGGAGTCAAAACACGCCATCGTTGAAGAAGTGTCTATTTCTACGACGCCTTCAGGCAAACAGAGAAAAAGCAGAGGAACAAGGACTAAAGGTCTGGGCAGATCGGGAAAGGGTCATGTTAACTCTACTACATCGAGTGCGTCAAACGCCTCGAACAGTGAGAGAGGGGGTGGTAATGGAGAAAGTGAACGCTCAGGTACGCGCAAATGGGAACAAAAGCAAGTACAAATAAAGACTCTTGAAGGCGAATTCGCCGTCACAATGTGGGCGTCGGGTACGTTCTGTAAAATGGGCGCCCTTACTTTTCAGATTAAGTTGGTTTTAAGCTTAAATGCTGTTGCGAGGCGAGGAAATCTCATGTTTTTTAATTTGTGTTTCTTCCCTGTACGTGCTATGGTGACGCTGTAGAAGAGAAAAAAGCTCAACAGGAGGAATTGAATCAGTCTCCCGACTTTACGGAGTACATGACAGGGAAGAAGATACCTCCTGGAGGCCTTCCTGGAATTGATTTAAGTGATCCAAAGCAGTTAGCAGAGTTTGCAAGGTAAGATGACTTTTCGTCCAGTTTGGCAGCCATATTGAAATCCCATGACAAACAGCAGCCTTTGTTCAAAACCAAAATGGCGGACTTCATCATGGCGGCCGCTCGTTCGATGCAAAGTGAAAATTTCGAATTCTTCATGTCAGCGTCATTGTACGATTTGTATGAACGAGTAAATCAATGAAACTCATGTTAAAGAATTTTTCTGTGTGTATTAGTCACCTCTTTTTGCGTTCAACATTTAAAATAGAATATCGAGGTTTTTGACAAACAAAGGGATTTGCCTTCCGCCACGAAATTATTATTGAGAATCAAGTTGCTTGAATAGTGCTTTAATTTTCACCGCAAGTTCTTGTAACAGACTATGATTTTTTCCATCAAATGCATTTGAATTGCCTGTCTGGCATTATTTTTGGTTGTTACTCAGAAAGAAGTCTCTAATTTTGATTTTTTCCCTGAAAGAGTCCAAAAAATCATACTGCAAACATTACCTCACTAATGCAAAGTGTAGCACAAATGAAAGAGTGATGAAAATATGAAAATTCGTTTGAGTTGACGGTTTTAGATTGGATGTATTTATTACTGTACAATCCCTATAACATGACACATTTGTACTTAGTTATCTAACTGTCCTCATCTATTTTCCATTACATTTTAAATTTCTCTGAGATGCACTTTTTCAGTTTATTAAATTTCTGTAAATGAATTTTGATCAGAGAAGGACCTTATCAGAAAATTAAATGTAATGTGTGAATTTTTCAGGTTTTATTTTCAAGTCTTAACTATTACAGCCTTTTTGTGCTGTCGTAAATCCTTGAATTTTGCTTCTAATTAACATGGGCTGTGCCCACCCTTTGTAAACACCTATGAATGACCCACACGTGTTGATCAAGCACATTATCTATTTGATCCTTTGCTAAGGGAAAAGAGCTAAAAAAGAGCAGTCTAATATTTAGACTTTATTATTGCTTTTATAGTCAAGATGTCATTGATTTATGCTTTAAGAGTAATAAAGAAAAAGTAAAGAAAAACGACGAAAGAAAACTGATTCTTGTTTCTTCGAAGTTCTCCCAAAAGGCCAGAGAAGCAAATTTGTTAAAAAGATCTGTATTGAGCAATTGACTCTTTATTATGCAAACATAACAATATGTAAAATAAAGGTGTAAATTTCGTATAACAAGCACTGTGAAAAATGTAGAGCCTTCTACTAGGTACCTTTACTGGAAGAAAAAAATTCTAAATTCTGTGAATAACCAATGGGAGCGCTTAGATGAATTAGAGAATTTTAGACAAATCATCACCAGTCTACATGTAACCAGCCAAACAACAATGGTTAACTGTAAGTTCTTGTCGTTGTGAGATTTTACAAAATGTATTTTATACTCTCTGTCTTTTAGAATGAGACCCAAGAAAATGAAGGAAGAGGAAGGAGCCAGAACGATAGCATGTCCACATAAAGTAGGTTCTCTCTTTATGTTCATGAAATTTAATCGATGGTGTTCTACTATGCGGTCTCTGAAGACTCAGCTGGGCTACATGAAACAAGAAAATGGCTATTAATTCTTTAGGAGAAAATACTCTGCACTACTCTGCCCACCCTGACATTGTTTCTTGTAGTTTTGCCACTTGTTCACAATAAATTATTTTATTTTGTCTCTTCACTGAGCTGGATCGCCACTGTTAACTCTTTAGTGAACTAGCATCACCTTTAGTGGGGGATCCATTACTCTCAGGTGCTTAGTGCTGCTGAAATAAAGTTACAGGTGTAGGGTCCAGCTTGTGTTTAGCTAAACATCTTACCTTGCCAGAGAGTATAAGATCTTGTTATAACCACTTGCAGTTGAAACGTCTCACTTACAATGTGTATATGTACCAGTTTTTTCATATTCAGAACCAAGAGCTCAAACTGAGGACACAATAGCTGTTTTATTCATTGTCTCTCTGGTGTGGTTGCATTGAAAAGGATTTATTGAAGAGGCAAAACCACAGTTAAATGGATGGGTAAATGTGTAGTGTAAGGTTCCGTAAACTCTTTTGTAGCAATGAGCATATTTGTCTGTTGTTTTATTCTTAGGGTTGTACAAAGATGTTTAGAGATAATTCTGCAATGCGAAAACACTTACATACTCATGGGCCACGAGTTCACGTCTGTGCAGAATGTGGCAAGGTACATATCCTCATCTCCAATGGTGTATTTAACATGATTTTGACTTTTTGAACATATTTAGGATGGTCAGGCAGTGAATTAAATAGCTGGGGATTTCTTTTGGTTTTATTTTGCTGCTATTTTCCTACAAAAGTAGCTGTGGGGTCACAATCCTAAAAGCTGGGGGAAGTCCCCACCTGCCAGCCCTTAATGACAGCCTTGATGATAATATATATATTATTACTGTTTTCCACACTTGTATTGTCATTTTCTAAATTTGGTTTTGTTTTTCATGGGCTAATCATGTAGGCTTTTGTGGAAAGTTCGAAGCTCAAAAGACACCAGCTTGTTCATACTGGAGAAAAACCTTTCCAGGTAAGTTTTGCCCATTATCAAATCAATGAGTTTATTGTATTTTAAATACTGGTTTGTGCAAAGTTTGGATAAAAAACAGTCCTGTCAAATATGCTGGCAGCTGGCAATTTTGCCACTTTCAGTGGCATATATGGCGTAGATTTATTAATATTGAATAATGACCACACAAATTTAGGTCTTTGCTGCCTATTTCTGTTGTTATCTGGCCTACTATTATAGAGTATTTTGAATGGCCTGAAAGTACAGATGGTAAATGATATCATGTTTAATTTTGTAATTGTTGACTTAGATTGTTGTTGTTTTGCCCCTACAGTGCACATTTGAAGGCTGTGGAAAAAGATTTTCTCTGGATTTTAACCTTCGAACCCATGTTCGCATTCACACTGGTGACCGCCCATATGTCTGCCCTTTTGACTCCTGTAATAAAAGGTTTGCGCAGTCAACAAACCTCAAGTCACACATCTTGACACACGCAAAAGGAGGAAAATAGAATTCACTGTTCAAGGACATTGACAATTTGTGTACAGATTTTCAGGAATGAAACCTTTTTAGACTTATTTACAAAACAAAGTCTTTGGTTCTGTAAGACAGCTAGGACCTCTTAGATAATACGTTGTACATTTTACACTCATATGACCAGATGCTATTTACTTACACAATCCAGCATAGCAAAACGTCCACCATACATTCAACTTTCCATTGCTGGAGACTCTCCCTCTAGAGATTGGAATTTGAAGTGGAACAGACACTAACCACAAGGAGATGTCCTTAGAAGTGGACTTTTCAAGGCTGTCATGTTAGATTTTAAGCTAGTCAGCCCCAGGGAAAGGGCTTTAATTTATCATCGTATCAGCAGAAAAACAAACCATTCCTTTTGTCAGGGATATTGTTTGTTTCACTCTGCAGACTCAAATTATTGGATTTGCATCTTAGGAACATACTTTTTAAGCCCATGTTGTCACACAAGGTTGACTCATTCTTTTGACAGCAAGTGTGATTGCAAAAACAGGAAGAGCTTAATTTTTATTCCAGGCGCGTGATGGTACCTTATGATTCTAATATTTATAGGATCCTGTCGAAAAAAAGGCTATGTCTTGCACTGAGAGTGTTTTTAGCCTTGTTGACTTCAAAGGTTTAGACTGAGAAAATTCAACTTCATTTATTGAACGGATGTGATAATATACAGTGATGTAATCTATCTTATAATGTACCAAATGTTCAAGTGCTGTTATTGTCAAACTTATTGATAACTATAAAGTTAAAGCTATTTTATCTTGATTCTGAGAGTGACCTCGGTTATGGTAGTCAAACTGCAAGGAATTCAAAAACTGTCTTAGATCCCAGTCAGTGTCTTCACACATTGTTACTTTCAGCGCATTTATACTTAGCAAAACTTGACAATGAAATGCACATTCGTGATATTTAAACTCAAATTATAAAGTGGTGTTTGCCTTCTGGGGAAGAAAGGCATGACAAAGCCCAAAGAATGTCTGTGTAGGATGCCGTATAGCAGGTGTTGATCCAGGAAAAAAATGTGACTGTTTCCGACTAATATGGACACCAGGTGCACACTTCTAGCAGAATCCAGGGACATGCAGCAACCCCAAAATATAAATTTGAACTCCTGAAAAGTTATTTTCCTTCCACTGGATCTTCACCTCTGCTTTAGGCCATAAATTGCAGCATAAGGGCAGTTGCTTACTTGTTGTCTTAAAGTCGACATAGAATTTCTGCTTGATGTAACATGGATTTGAAGAAGGGCTACATTTAGGGAAAAAAGCTGAAATGAATATGATTTTGCTACGTGCCTGGTTCCAGTACTATTGTATTGCTTTGTGAAAGTATAGAACTCCTTTACTATAAAAACCTGTTTTCCTGTGATAGGAGAGCCTTTCTTTACTGAAACTTGCTGGGTGTGTGGTCACCATGCCATGCAAAATACAACTTAGTGGCTCACCTGTTAATGTCAAAATATAATTCTGTACATCTCTTGATTGTTGATTTTGTAGATACAAATGTTTTAAGTTCTCTTGTGTGTAAATATGTGTTTGCTTATTTTGTCAGCTTCTTCATTACTAGTGTAAAGTGAAGGGATTGGTGGATTAAGTAACTGAAAGGTTGAAGTTTTGAAATTTAGGACAAGCATGCAATATTATTATTGTATACCAAATTAATAAAGTAACAATGTGGACTGTTCAGTCAGGAAAATGTTTTTATTTTCCTTTCCAATATCATCATGCAGGGCTTACGAGTGACTAAGAAAAAAGCCATTGTTAAAAAAAAAGGAAAAAAAGATGGTGGCAAATTTTTCTCAGTCAATTATTCCTTGAAGAGGTCGTGCCACGCATGATGAACTATTGGAGGAATTAACGTAAAAATTCTTCTAGCTATAAGACAGCTTGGCTTCTTAAGTTATTTATCCTACATGAATTTCTGACTACGTTTTGGATGTTTGACCTTGCTATGTATAACTATTGATATGTATAGCCTATTCAGGTGACAAGCTGAAAAAAATGCTGCTTTTGTGCCACAGTATATTAAGTGCCCACCCACCTAGCCTGAGACTAGGCTCTGCGTTTGGGGGAAAAAAGGGGAAAAAATCGGAGAGCGAAGCAAGCCAATAGGTATTCAGGGAGGGGAAAGGGTGGCGGCCCTTTTCCCCATCTCCATGCCACCACTTTTTCCTTTTTGACCCCGATTTTTGCCTTTTTTGCCCACTGCGGAGCCTGGTCCCAGGCTACCACACACTACCCTCAACACACTTGTCACTCAGTCTAGATGAATCCGCGGCTAATTAACTCCGCTCAAACACCCTGTTGAACGTGCAAAATAGTGAATATGCTTTGTGATAAGGCTGTGATAAAACGAAGAGCTAGACGGGCTGAGGACATCCAAGCAACACAACAGTTAAATTCTACAAAGCTTAAGGAACCAGGAGACAAGAGAAAAGCTGAATCTCAACCAGAAGTCTTCGCTGGGAAAAGCAAACGAGATCGAAAATACCAAACGTCATGTGAGCGCAACTTTCCTTGGCTTGTACACGATGAAGAAAAGAACACCATGAAGTGCAAAATTTGCTGTTCTTTTCCCGAAATTGCTGACAAATCTAGCTCCCTGTTCATTGGAAATGGTGCCTTTAGGCGTACTACCATTCAGGCCCATGCTAAAAGTAAAACTCACTTCAAGTGTTTTGAAGAAAACTCTGCTCGGGAAAACCCAGGTGCCGCACCTATGAGAACAGCGCTACGAAATATGAATGCACAAGTCAATGAAAAACTGCAAAAGCTTTTCAACAGTGCCTTTTTTTATAGGCAAAGAGAATTTAGCTTTTGCAAAGTTTCCACAACTGTGTAAACTTCAAATGAAGAATGGTGTTGACCTTGGGGAAACGTACCTTAATACCGAGCAAAGCGAGCTGGTGATTTTTTGGGGGCAACCAAAAAATACACTCGGCAAGTAAAACTAGCGACATAGTTGCCCAGAGGGCAAGTTAGCAGAAAAATTAGTGTCGAACACTGGGGTCTGAATGTTCCCTTTCAGAATCTTGAAATTTGGGCTCAAAATAATATAGGGCATCAGAACCACTACTTAGTTACCCTGCCAGCAGTGGTTTCTCAAGGCCAGACCCGATGCTACGATTGAAGAGAAACCACTGTGAGCAACCATTTGCTTTCCCATCAAGCATGTGCGTCCATGTGTTGCCTACATGAAAACTTCAAATGAAATCACTCTCTCTCGTTTTGCAAGAAGCAAAATTTAGGGACTTTCAGATCCAACAACGTAACGGCAACAAGAACATCAAAAAAGCAGTAGGTTACAGGTAAATAAGCCAATAACAACTTTGCACGTGCATTACACTTTTATCTTACATATTTTCTTTGCCTTTTTTGCACAACTATGATGTGAAAATACCTAATTTTGCGTTTTATGGAGAACATAACAAGCAACAACGAAATTTTATTTCCCTCCCTGAGCATGGATATGGTCTGTAGGAATTACACTCCAGTTTAGTTCGCCTACATTTGACAAAGTAAGTTGGTAGAAATAATTGCAATTAAGACTAAAAGAGCGCAAATTCACAGCAGGCTCGTGTTAAGGCAGCAGTTATAAGCGTAAGCAAATGTGCAAGAGCCTTAACTTGTTTTTAAACACTGAGGTTTTATCTGTTCAAAGGTACTTTAGTCATCCATGGTGCTGGACGGCAGCTCAATCAAAGAAGCAAAGGGTTGCTTGCACTGGTTTTTCTTTCTTCATAGCATGGCGTCCCTCCTGGAGAAACCACTGCTTGCAGGATACTACTTTGTGTGCTAGATTTTATATTTTATTGCTAAGGTCATTAGGATGTGAAAAATAACTGTCCAACACATTTTTATGTGGAGGTGTGTGTGGCCGAGTGGATCTGGAGGTCCGGGATTCAAACCTCACCTGTCGTGTTGTTTCCTTAGACAAGAAACTTTACTCCACTTTGTCTCTGATAACTCAGGGTCGGGTTGATCAAAGCTGGGTTAAGATAACCCAGGGTCAGTGCAAAATTTGAATTCAGAAGTAAAGGCTTTAAAAGCAAATTCCGTTTAATTCTTTTTATCTACAACTGGATGATTGAATGCTCTAAAAGGAATAGAGCAGATTATCTGAGAAAATGCGTTTGAACAAGACAAAAAGAAATGCAGATTAAAATTTAATTCCGGTTGAGCGCTAATTGGCCTTCCAATGACTCGGCCCAGGTGTATAAATGGGTACAGCAACATACTGCTTGGGGGTAATGCTGCGATGGACTAGCATCCCGTCCAGGGGGACATTCTCACCATGGAGGTGAGAATGAATTTTTGCATTTTGCAAGGATACATAAATTGGCCCAGTTGAAGCAAATGGATATCATTAAATTTTAGTATACCGAGTTCCTAAAAGATGGGGTGTGTATGAGCCTTGAAATGTGATTTATTAGTAATTCTAATAATGCACTTTTGCAGTATAAAAATGCCGCGGGGATTGGTTTTATAGGTTGAAGCCCAAACTTGATTGCGGTAGTAAAAGTTAGGATAAATTAAGGAATAGTAGAGCATGCATTCAGACGTTTTAGGAAGAAGCTTGTATATAATAAGTTTTTCTATCCTGGGAATTGAATCTTTGTTTACTCTAAACATCAGGTCCTGGTTGTTCAAACGTTGGATAGCCCTTTCCACCACATAAATCACTATCCAGCAGATGAGTCTTTGGAAAACGAATTTCCCTATCCACTGGTTAGAGATTTATCCATCGGATAGTGCTATGATAGTGCTATCCACATATTGAACAACTGGGGCCTGTATGACAGGATTAAGCAGCTCTTTCTTTGCTGACTTTTTGGCAGTTTTTTGGGATGCAGTTTTTCATGTAAATGAAACATGATGAAGTCAATGCAAAATATTTATACACCCATAATGCAACGAATGCCTTTTGACATCCTAAAGGATATTCAAAGTACTAATAGTGGATGTTTATGTGATAGGTTGGCCAGAAGCTGCTCCAGATGATGTAAGTAAATAACTCATGACAAATTAGAACCCAAAGTATGTACTGGTAACTACCTTATTCTCACTTAATTTCGCAAGTATTAAATTCCACGAACAATCATGAGCCATATTTCGCAAGTATTAACGATTTTACCTCATAGTGCCAGACATTTTATTTTCTTTTAAAGCTTGCTTGAGAAAAGATCGTGGAGATAGCTTTAGCTGATTGCTAGAAAGAAAGATTTGATTATCTTGCACTGAGGTGCTCTTGTTGGTGTTGTGGAGCATACAATTTGGAAACCACCCAATAGATTTTTTTAAAAAAACTTGGTATTCTGGAGATTGAATGGTCATTTTATATGACCTTTAAATTTCAAGGTTTTTGGAAACTTGAAATAAGGCAATGAAGTGAGGGTTACAATGCCCTAACTTTTTGTCAGAAATTGTATGTTTACAATCTAGTGACAGCCTATCATTATTCAGGGATAAATATCTCCAAGTTTCATTGTGGTGTGAATGGCAGCAACAAACAATCAAGCATTGAAAGATAGAGAAATGTTACTTATTGGTGTTTAAGAAATATGAAATCTGGTTTTCTGACTTGAATCGTGTGATATGGGTGTTTCCTGATGATGTCACCATCAGAACCAACATGCCATTTAAGGACCACTGTCCAAAACTTTGTCACATATAAGCCCGGTTATTTAGAGTTACAGCTTGAATACTTTTCCCTAGCAATGGCCTGAAAAGATACTTTAATTGCTTCATTTCAAATCAAGAGGGGCTGGGTAGAGTCAGTTTATTATGGGATAAACAACGCAAGACCCATAATTATAGGCAGAAAGAGCACATTGAAGCAACATTCTCAACTTTGGTGTTTATCAGGCCTATATTGAACAAGAGACCATTCAAAAACTCGAAAAATTTACTCAGAAATATATAGATGCCTGGAAGATGTATCAGGCAATCCATACATCTCTTATAAATTTTCAAGTAGCCGTATCTTGTTCAATATTGGCCCGATCAACACCAAACTTCAGATTTTTCATATCCTCAATGTGTGTTTACATGGGTAAGAAAGATTCAGAATATACGAAAGTGTTAAGGGTTCCATTTGACAAGGATAGAGCTCACAGATCTAAATTGTTGGCAGCCAACACTTACAGAGGCAATTGAGGGATTTGAAACTGAATATTGAATTTAAATATCGAAACAGGGCATTCCATATTTTATCAGGATCTTCCTTCCACTGTGATGGAATTCATTTGTTAGGAGGGTCTGAATGTTTCTTTTGAGAATCTTGAAATTTGGTCTCAAAATAATATAGGGCATCAGAACCACTACTTAGTAACCCTGCAAGCAGTGGTTTCTCCACGCCAGACCCGATGCTTCGAAGGAAGAGAAACCACTGTGAGCAACCATGGGCTTTTCCATCAAGCATGTGCGTCCATGTGTTGCCTACATGTAAACTTCAAATGAAATCACTCTCTCCCATTTTGCAAGAAACAAAATTTAGGGACTTTCAGTCATCCAACAACGTAACAGCAACAAGAACTCCAAAAAAACAGTAGGTTAAATAAGCCAATAACAACTTTGCACTTGCATTACACTTTTATCTTACATATTTTCTTTGCCTTTTTTGCACAACTTTGATGTGATAAACCTAATTTTGTGTTTTATGGAGAACATAACAAGCAACCATAAAATTTTATTTCTCTCCCTGAGCATGGATATGGTCTGTAGGAGTTACACTCCAGTTTAGTTCGCCTACATTTGACAAAGTAAGTTGGTAGAAATAATTGCAATTAAGACTAAAAGAGCGCAAATTCACAGCAGGCTCGTGTTAAGGCAGCAGTTATAAGTGTAAGCAAATGTGCAAAGAGCCTTAACTTGTTTTTAAATGCTGAGGTTTTATCTGTTCAAAGGTACTTTAGTCGTCCATGGTGCTGGACGGCAGCTGAATCAAAGAAGCAAAGGGTTGCTTGTACTGGTTTTTCTTTCTTCATGGCATGGCGTCCCTCCTGGAGAAACCACTGCTTGCAGGGCACTACTTTGTTATCCCTAGGTGCTAGATTTTATATTTTATGCCTAAGGTCATTACGATGTGAAAAATAACTGTCCAACACATTTTTATGTGGAGGAGTGTGTGTGAGAGTGGTTAACACCTCGAACTCTGGATCTGGAGGTCCGGGATTCAAGCCTCCCCTGTCGCGTTGTTTCCTTAGACAAGAAACTTTACTCCACTTTGTCTCTGTTTACCCAAGGCCGGGTTGTTCAAAGCTGGGTTAAGATAACCCAGGGTCAGTGCAAAATTTGAATTCAGAAGTAAAGGCTTTAAAAGCAAATTCAGTTTAATTCTTTTTATCTACAACTGGATGATTGAATGCTCTAAAAGGAATAGAGCAAATTATCTGAGAAAATGCGTTTGAACAAGAGAAAAAGAAACGCAGATTAAAATTTAATACCGGGTGAGCGCTAAGTGACCTTCCAATGACTTGGCCCAGGTGTATAAATGGGTACCAGCAACATACTGCTTGGGGGTAATGCTGCGATGGACTAGCATCCCGTCCAGGGAATTTTTGCATTTTGCAAGGATACATAAATTGGCCCAGTTGAAGCAAATGGATGTCATTAAATTTTAGTATACCGAGTTCCTAAAAGATGGGGTCTGTATGAGCCTTGAAATGTGATTTATTAGTAATTATAATAATGCGCTTTTGCAGTTAAAAAATGCTGCGGGGATTGGTTTTATAGGTTGAAGCCCAAACTTGATTGCGGTAGTAAAAGTAAGGATAAATTAAGGAATAGTAGAGCATGCATTGAGACGTTTTAGAAAGAAAGCTTGTATAATAAGTTTTTCTATCCTGGGAATTGAATCTTTGTTTACTCTGAACATCAGGTTCTGGTTGTTCAAACGTTGGATAGCCCTTTCCACCACATAAATCACTATCCACGGCAGCAGATGAGTCTGGGAAACGAATTTCCCTATCCACTGGTTAGAGATTTATCCATCGGATAGTGCTATGATAGCGCTATCCACATATTGAACAACTGGGGCCTGTGTGACAGGATTAAGCAGCTCTTTCTTTGCTGACTTTTTGGCAGTTTTTTGGGATGCAGTTTTTCATGTAAATGAAACATGATGAAGTCAATGCAGAATATTTATACACCCATAATGCAACGAATGTCTTTTGACATCCTAAAGGTTATTCAAAGTGCTAATAGTGGATGTTTATGTGATAGGTTGGCCAGAAGCTGCTCCAGATGATGTAAGTAAATAACTCCTGACAAATTAGAACCCAAAGTATGTACTGGTAACTACCTTATTCTCACTAAATTTCGCAATTATTAAATTCCATGAACAATCATGAACCATATTTCACGAGTAGTAACGATTTTACCTCATAGTGCCAGACATTTTATTTTCTTTTAAAGCTTGCTTGAGAAAAGATCGTGGGGATAGCTTTAGCTGATTGCTAGAAAGAGAGATTTGATTATCTTGCACTGAGGTGCTCTTGTTGGTGTTGTGGAGCATACAATTTGGAAACCACCGAATAGATTTTTTTTAAAAACTTGGTATTCTGGAGATTGAGTGTCATTTTATATGACCTTTAAATTTCAAGGTTTTTTGGAAACTTGAAATAAGGCAATGAAGTAAGGGTTACAATGCCCTAATTTTTGTCAGAAATTGTATGTTTACAATCTAGTGGCAGCCTATCATTATTCAAGGATAAATATCTCCAAGTTTCATTTTCATGTGAATGGCAGCAACAAGCAATCCATTTGAAACACAGAGAAATGTTACCTATTGGTGTTCCAGAAAATATGAAAATCTGGTTTTCTGACTTGAATCGTGTGATATGAGTGTTTCCTGATGATGTCACCATGAGAACCAACTTGTCATTAATTTTTTAGGGACCACTGTCCAAAACTTTGCCGCATATAAGCGCGTTTATTTTGAGTTACAGCTTGAATACTTTTCCCTAGCAATGGCCTGAAAAGATACTATAATTGCCTTGCTTCAAATCGAGAGGGGCTGGGTACGAGTCGGTTTATTATGGGATAAACAACACAAGACCCATAATAATATTATAGTCAGAAAGAGCATATTGAAATGAGCAACATTCTCAAGTTTGGTGTTTATTGGGCCTATGTTGAACGAGATACAGCCATTCAAAAACTTGAAAATTTACTCAGAAATATATAGATGTCTGGAAGATGTGTCCGGCAATCCATACATCTCTTATAAATTTTCAAGTGGCTGTATCTTCTTCAATATTGGCCCAATTGACACCAAACTTCAGATTTTTCATAACCTCAATGTGCTCTTTCTGGCCATGTGGGTCTTGTGTTGTTTATCCAATAATAAACCAACTCATACCCAGCCCTTCTCGATTAAAAACTGGGCAATGGGCCCTTTAAGCATTCAGCTACCAGACTGAAGGCTCTGAGAAATGTTGTTTGGTAGCCGGAGAAAACAGCCAACATTTGGTAGTAAGTGGCGTCTGAGAAATGAGTGCAGAAATTCCATACTGATGACATGTCACTACCTAGGTCTGAATAGTACTTTTGATTGGTTGAAGCAAATATCCCACATGGCACAACTAATCAGAGGTACTACCCTGATCTGGATAGTGATGCATCATCAGTATGGAATTTCTGCACTCATTTCTCAGATGTCATTTTGCAGGGAAACCCCTGTGGTGGTGCAGCAAAATGTCAGCTGTTTTCTCAGGCTAGTTGCTTGGGAGTATATGAGTCATAGTTCTTTCTTTCTGTTTGCAGGAGAAAGATCCATACAAGAATGGTATGTTTTATTAAGAAAAATGATTTTGTATTATTTAGAAGGAAAGTTACAAATTGAAGTGCTGATTTAATCTATCAACAGATCCTGTGCCTTTGCAGTATATTTATAGAACAAGAGACAAGATAAGGGACTTTTATGAGGTATGGATCAAGTGCCCTTTCTTTCCCCACCTTAAACAAGGCTGTGCTCTGAGGAAAAGTGAAGGGAGCCCAGTGCTCTGCACCTGTAAATTCTAGGGTGCCCAGCATATGATTTGTATTAAAAAAAAAAAACAAAAACAAGATTGTCCAGTCCGAAGAACAAAAGTTGGGCACCAAGGACTGCCAGGCTCTGCTAGATTTCAGCCCTGTTAAGTGTAGTTGTGTTTGGTGACCATTTCACTTCAAATTTCCCTTAGACCTTTCCAGGGTTTTTGTCAACTTTTGTTGAGGACCAGCAAGGGAAAATCCTTTAACTACTGGAAAGAGCTCCTTGTGACAATTTTGAGATTGATTGGGCAGAAAGGAAAACAAAGATTTAGCTTCACCAAATCACAGTTAACTTTGTAAAATTTCATGACTTTGTGACTTTGACTTACCGGTTATTATTATAATCATAATATCATGGGTGACAAATTACTCCTTAACTTTGGCATTAAAGATCAGCATAAATTTATAATTTTACATGTAATGTTCGGTGTGTGTTAGTGCCAAGATTGTGTCAAAGTGTTATAAATGAAGATGTCGGGACATTAAAAGACCTCCTAGAAAACCTAAACGCACAAAAGAACACATCAAGAAGGACTCTAACAGATATTTTGTAATTTGTCACCCATGATATTTTTAGGTAATCAAGTGGAAGACTCGTGAAATTAGGGAATAAATTCACTTGCATTTTGTCCAAATTCTGATCATTTTCCTTTCCTAAAGGCTCAGGAAATTATCATAATTTGGACAAAATGCATGAAATTATTCTCTTACTTTGTTCATCACCATTTGATTACTCATACTAATTATTTCATTTTCCTTTTGTTAAATATGGAAGATGTTTGCTGAGCCCTCTAGCAAAATGTTGTTACCTGAACCTCTGCAAGAGCCATATTACCAGCCCCCATATACTTTGGTGTTGGAATTAAAAGATGTATTAGTTCACCCAGAATATGATGTAAGTACTGTCAGTATAACTTCCTTACCCACAAAACATGAGCTCTCAAGGACTAAACTCGTGCCTACAGTCTCAGTCAAAATTTTTGGGACACTTTGCTGTCTTCTTGCCCTCCCAATGTTGGTGTGCAAGATTTGGTGAGTTTACGGTGATAACCAACATTGGAAGGACGAGGAGATGGGCTAGAAGAGAAAAACAGCATTTGGTGGAAGTGTCCCAAATGTTTTTGTCTGAGACTGTGGATCACTTGTGGGTTTGTCCACAAGAAATCTAGGTACAAAATTACTCAGAGAAAGACTTGTTGAAAAGTGTTTGTACTTTTTGGGCTTAAGTGGCATTTTGAATTTTTGGTTTTTCTGAGGAAAGAGGAAAACTCTGGCAGCTAGGGATAAACCTCTCACAGCAAGGGAGAGAACCAACAACAAATTTAAAAACCTGCTAATGGCTTTCATGCCAGGGGTTGGCGTGGCCCACATTGGGGGGTGGTGAGTGCTCCCACTGCTGTCCCATCCTTAATATAGTCATCAGTGTCTTCAAGATGGACACCATTGGGTATGGCACTAAGTGTCCAGCATGGAGAGGTGTCTGCCTTATGTAGTGTGAGTGAATTTAAAAAAAGAACCTTATTTGATTGTCAATGTATTTAGCATGAAAGGACTAATTAGGGACACTATTTTTACGTGATCATCTGAGCCACATGAAGGTTCAGCTACTTGCAGTGAAAAGGGAGTACCTTCATTTCTCGGTTATTTTAAGACCCTGAGTGGTGGTCGGGCCCTGGGTATCAAACCCCGCGACCTTCAACTCTGTAAACACTCTAACTGACTGAGCTAATCCTGCCACGGCAGAGACAAACTTTAGGTGTCCATTATATTGATATTGTTTTATTTAGAGGTAACTGTTACAGCAAGGAGCCCAAAAGTGTGACCACTTTTGATTTATTCACACTCTTTTGTGCAGATTTTATCCAATCAGAAGCCAGCTGGAAACTGTCCTCAACTTTTGATTGGTTAATGTCTGCATGAAAGAATGTGAGTTCATTAAAGGAGGTCACACTTTTGGGATCCTTGCTGTATGAGAAAGTTAACTGTAGTGGTATGTTGTCATCTCTAAAAACTAATAACATCAAGCCTTGTGAGGTAAGGATCACTGTCCCATATCTCACTGGGATGAGATATACCTGGTAATTGGTACAGTCAAACCCTATTAATGTTTACACTGGCGGGCCATAGAAAGTGTTCGTATTAAGCGGCTTGAATTTAGAGAAAATGTAAGGAAAGGCTTGGCCCAGGGACAAAGCAAACTGTCTGTAATAAGGAGGTGTCCGTATCAAGTGGGTCTCCATTAAGGGGGGTTGAACTGTAGATTTTAACATGCTAGGAAGATTTTCTTTCTATTCTCTTTTCCCACATAAAATAAAATAATGGTATTTACTTCTTTCTGACTTCACTGACTTCGCTAAAATTAGCCTCTCTTTTCGTTTCTCCTTGCCCGGCAGAATTTTTTTACAAAGCGGAACGAAAATAGAGGCCTGTCTCAGGTTAACAATAAGTAGTGTCTTCACCATTGCTTTTTAGCGTAAAAGTGGCTGGCGCTTCAGAAAGAGACCTGGAGTAGATGCCTTTCTTAATCAGCTTGGGCCTCCACTGTTTGAAGTTGTCATCTATACACATGAAGCTGGATTTGTAAGTGTGTTCCTTATGTGTAATAGTTAAAATTATTGGAATCATAATTGATAGTCATAATTACAATAGTAGTCAGAATTAGAATTTAAATCGTAATCATGGTCCTATAAATGGCTTGTGCAATTGAAACGTAGGAGTGGTGGGTCGGCGAGCTTAGCGCTATGCTGAAGCTCGCAGGTTAAAAAAATTGTCAACGTTCAATCCTTGTGGTGTTACTCATCCCATTTCAAGAAGCTTCGTTCTGGTTTGTAGTACATGAATTCTGTCGCCAATAGATTCTCAACGTATTGTTTAAATCGAGAATGATAAAGGCTATGTTCGCACTGGATAGCTTGGGTTTGCACCGGCGTGAAAACCATACCGATTATGGATTCTGTTCACAAATAAGAATGGCTATTTCGGCGCGATTCTTGTAACGGAGCGAAGCTGCGCCGCGCTGCGCCGCGCTGCGCCGATCTCTAAAGTGGAGAGTCACATATCGGATGGGTGTTCAGACCGGATAGCTTTTCGTGTCGGCACGAAAATCTATCCTGTATACTGTTAACATAGCCTAAGATTGAATATTCAGAAACGTTATAACCCTTTAACGCTAAGATCAAATTTTGAATTCTCATTCGCTGCCCCTATTCATTTCCTATAGAAGTAGTGGGGAGAAGCTGATAAAATGCCAAGCAAATTCATCTTTCGTGATCATGTCCGTAATTCTCATGACCAAGCATTGATATTACAATGAGAAGTTTGATGCTGATCATTCTTAGGGCTTAAAGGGTTAAATAAGCGGTCTCAATTAAATTAATTACTTTTAAATTTGCTGGCATTAGTAAGATTTCTATTTTTTAAAATTTCGGCAAATTTCATAGAATTTGTCTTGCGTTGTTGTTGAGTATTTTTTCATGTCTTGCACCTTTCTCCTTTTTCAGAGTGCCTCACCAGTTATTGATGGCTTAGATCCTAATGGAATGATCATGTACCGACTGTTCAGGGATGCTACACGATACACTGACGGTGTACACTTGAAGGTCAGGCGCGGGGCATAGCTTTCTTTTATATTATAAGGGGTGACCATCCACCCGCCCCGGAGGGAGGTACTCGATCAATATTTCGGTATAGGTGAGCCGCCGAGAGGCAAAGGCAGGGATAAGGGAACCACTTCACCAAGATAGCAAAAGCTTCAGTGTTATAAACGAAGGAACCGTTCAGGCATTTGGGTTTCTCATAAACAGGACTGGCAACTTTGAGGTTACGAAAACAAAGGTTTGTTTAAGATGAGGTCGGGAACGGCACCATAATGCTCGCCTGCTCGACAATGTCCTCGCGCGATCGGAAGTCACCGTCCTCACCAAACCGTCCTGTAAGATCGCTAATTTCCGTCTACACTTACCCTTTGCTTGTTTATTCGTTTTCGTTGTTCACACTGCCATCACTGACAATTAGCAGCGCGTTGCTTTGGCCATCGAAACCTCCATTTTTATCACCGTTTTCGTTTGGACCTAAGGCCAATCTGTCCAGAGAAAGATGAAACTATACCTGCGTTAGTTTTTATCCAGTAGTCAGCAACGTAGGGAAAACGTTATTAAGGGGCCACCCTAGTCGGGGAAGGACAATTAACCGCCTAACAAAGGCTGGCCGCTCGATAGAAGTTGTGTTCACAGGGACTAGCTACCGCATGTCTCACTAAATAGAGGGTCGAATTTAACTACAATTGTGAACTTTCCACCATGCCACCGCCGTGTCCCGCTGTTGTTCCTGGGATCGTTACTGCCATGGAGACGCGCCAGTCAGCTATTGGCCACTTTTTACCCCTTTCTCTAGTAACAATCCTACAAGTCTTTTCGAAAGTCAGCTCGGCCGAGTTCCTTCTGATTTCTAAAGTGGTGAATAAAAGTTGGACTCTATGTTCCTAATATTTAACAATTATTCCTCGAGCCCAAATGGGCTATTGACTCAGAGGCCATGAGGGCGAGAGGAATAATTGTTTTAGTAAAATCCAACTAGTTGGTAAAAAAATATCGAGAATAAAACAATTTTAGCTAGTTAAAACTAGACTTAAATCCTTTTTTGAAGCCAAAAAGCCAGCGCTTTTCGCTACTAGTGGGCTATAACATATCCCTAGTAGTAGCTCAACCAATCAGAACGCAGCATTGATAATAGACCACCAGTTGGATTTTACTAAACCGTAATAGTACCTCTTGTTATATCAAAACCGTAGTGGTGTTTGTTAAACGACTTTGTATTCTTATTCTCCAGGATTTGTCTGCACTTAACCGTGACCTGTCCAAAGTTATCATGATTGACTGCGATGAAAAAGCTGCAAGTGATAACATACGAAACGCCATTATTCTTAAAAAATGGGAAGGAGATCCGCAGGACAAAACGCTTTTTGATCTTGTCCCTTTCCTTCAAAGTAAGTAACTGTTTCTTGGTTCACGTGTGGGGCTGGTGTTGCGAAGCGTGGACAGAGCGAAAGCTATGGCTCTTGTAAAATTTATAGAAACTGTCTCACATTTCTCCCAGCCCTTCTACTTCGTGGGGTTATCAAGTTATCATTTTCCGATCGTGAGAGGGCTCAGTCTCCTTCAATAAAAATAACTTTGTAAACATTTCTGTTGAAAAAAAAGTAAAAGGAAGCTTTTCGGGGTGTCTATTTTTTGAGAATACGCGAAAAAAAATTTTGAGTCAAGTCTCTTCCAGTCGTAGTCGTCCTCGTCTTACAAGTTATCGACTTCATTCTCAGTTCCCACCACGGATTCCTAAGAGGCAGATCCTGTACAACACAGCTTCTCTTGGTACAGCAGGACTGGTCTAAGGCCCTTGATAAAGGTGGTCAGGTTGATGTGGTATTTATCGATTTTGCTAAGGCCTTCGACCTTGTAAATCACTCCGTACTTTTGAATAAGTTATACAAAAATGGAATTCGTGGTAGCCTTTTGGACTGTTGTAGAGACTATCTTACTAACCGCCGGCAAAGAGTCGTTGTAAAATGGGAAGTATCTGATTGGCTAACAGTTACCTCTTGTGTGCTGCAAGGCTCCCTGTTGGGTCCTTTATTTTTTATAATTTATATTAATGATTTACCAGGGGTTATCAGTGGGGATAGTTCCTTTGCCTTATATGCTGTTGATAGCAAATTATATAGGGTCATCAATTCTCCTGAGGATATTACACCCTTTCAGGGTGACCTTGATAAGATTTCCGACTTGTGCAAGGAGAGTAAAATGAAGGTCAAGGTTAAGAAATGTAAAATTATGAGAATTACTAGAAAAAAGAGTCCTCTGGTTAGGGACTATCAAATTAATTGTCAAAGTTTGGAAAGTGTACTTACAAATAAGGACCTATTGTAGGTTTGCTTACTAGCTCTACTGAACATATCATGGAATTCTCATACAGATTCTATAACTGCTAGGGCTAATAGGGTTCTTGGTTTGGTGAAAAGAACGTGTAAGGACTTTAGGGATATTACTACATTAAGAACGCTTTACTGCAGTCTTGTTAGACCTTTGCTTGAATACTCATGTGAGACCTGGAATCCTCACACACAACGCAATATAAATAGATTAGAGGCAATTCAGAGGAGGGCGACTAAGTTCGTCCTAAAGTGTAATGAGGATTATAACACTAGACTAAGTCTATTAAATTAACAAGTTTATTTAATAGGAGATTTGCGACGGATGTTGTACTTTTATTTAATTTGTTTAATGGCTATTTTAATATAGATGTCTCCAACAAGCTGTCTTTTTGTAAAGATCGTAACTTAGATTATGACTTAGAAAAAAATGACTCTCTTGACCTTGTCTGTATGTACAGTAGTAGAACTAATGGTTTTAAATATAGTTATTTTAACCGTATTATCAATGAATGGAATAGTCTACCTAATGATATAAAAGAATCTGTTAGTATTTCTGGTTTTAAGCACAAAGTTATATCATTTCTCGGTAATAGTTAGTCATATACTTTGAGCAGATTTCGCGTGGATGCGCAACGCCAGGGCTGGTGCCAACCGGCACGACGCCGTCTCGTTACGATTCATGACTACGGTTTCTCATACTCGTACGAGATCTGCTCTAGTATTTTTTCGATTCCTTTGTTATAAATTTTGAATTTCAGATATTATAGATTTTTTAATTCTAGATTTAGATACGTTTTGTATTATATACATTTCCACATTATATTGTAGTTTTCTGGGGAGCATCCCGCGTATGGTGCTTAGTGCGCTTTTGGATGCTTCCCTATCCTCCTACACTAATTTTTTCAGTGTATATGTTTATGCTTTTACTTACTATATTGGAGAAAACTGTAGTAAATAAAAGAATCGAAAGGCCTACAACAACAACAACAACAACAACAACAACAACGACAACAGATAACTAACGCGCAAGCCACAAGGGAAAATAAGAGTATATTCGTTGACGTGTTAAACGTACCAGGGATTTGTGATTCTCTTTTCTGATGTAATTGTTTAATTGCGAAACTAGCATCATACAAAACAAGCAAGGAGTAACTTTAATTTAAGGTAAAACTCATCGTTGGTAATATTAAGTACACAATCAGGTAGTATAAAAAAAATTTAATTGTTACTTTACTTAAAGCAATAATGTTCCTGTCTGTTTTTCCTCTCTTCAGCCATTGCCACTTCAAACGTTGACGACATTCGCGCAGTTTTAGACTTTTATCGAAAAGAGGACGATATCTTAGAAGCATTCAAACGCAACCAGGCAAGATTACGAGAAGCCGAACAAGAAAGACTAGCACAGCTGAATCAAAAACAGGGGGGAACTTCATCGTGGTCAGGGATGTTTGGCAGAAGTTTTGGCTTTGGCAGATCAAGCAATAAACCGTAAGTTTTTCTCTTTCAATCGTCATTTTCGTATAATATGTCCGGACAAATGCAGACAATTTTTGGGGTCATGTAGCAGCTGCTCGGAAGAGAAGTCACCAGTAGTGCCTAACCCTGACCCCAAACAATAGTGAAACAGTTGAAAGAATGGCATGTCATTGTTTTCTGCGACCAATCAGGAGAGACCTTACGAGCAGCTCCTACACAGCTGAATTTTTTTAACCTGTTCCACCCGTTTACACGGAATCGTGCAATTTCCGTTCCAGATTGTAGTATTAGGGAGCTTGAGCATGCAACGAGAACGACGACAGCAGCAAACACTTCTCTTAAAGTGAATTTACGTTGTTATAAAATTCATCGCTCTTATTCCATGTCGTCAGAAACCCATAAGGGGTTTCAACCCCTTATGAGTTTCTGATGTTGTTCAATAGACCTTTTTACCAATACGGCGGCCATATTGAATTAATTCGATTTAAGGAGTATTATAGGATGCCCAGGGGGCTTGAGCACATTTCCTTTGTATTTTCGAGCGCTTTTCGGGACATTTTTTCTTAAAGTTTTCTTAGAATAAGATTGTAGTGGGAAAAAAGATCCTTGTGCCGTGTTTGGATGTAATAATGATCGCCTTTTCCTAGTTTAATATTAGAAATCTGGTCTTTCACTGTATATTTCTCGGGAAAAATGTTATTGAAATTTTGTGGAGTTAAATTCTAAAGGACTTCTCTAAGTTTTAAAAAAAGGACTAAAAAATCGATGTCTTGCGTTCACGTTCTCCAGAAAACGTAAAATAGGCCATTTTACAGTTGTGGGCTTGGTGTCCTGGCCTTTGAGTGAAAGTGAGGCTAAGGTTGACCTTGTTTTGATATAAACCTCCTTCCTTTTCTAATGGAAAGACTAGTTAGCGTAACAACAACTCGCAGTCGTATGACCAGCCTGAAATAGTAAAAAATACGATCGTTTTCCAGTCTATAGATAACAGTTCTTTTTTTTTTACATTGTAAAGTGCTTAGGACAGCGATGTATAAGCGCTATATAAATTCCATTATTATTATTATTAGTTCTTTCAGAAAGCAAAGCTGTTACTTACTTTTTGTCGTCAATTCATTTGTTTGATCAGTCGCTCAGTTTATCCAGCTTCCACCACTTAACCAAATAGCTACAATCCTGGACATAATGAGATGGAAAAGTAAAGCCGCGGGAACTGATCCCGAAACTCTCCGTTTTTGATTTGAGGGGAGGTGGGGTAGGGGAGGGTCTGAATTTTTCCGTCTATTTTGTCTAAGATCGTATAACGTTGCGTGCTGTTATTTCAAAGGTTAGAGGTTAGAACCGGCTAGATCAAGCCCGAATGTTTTCATGATTTTATTATGTTTTTAATAAATCTATTTAGTTGATAAGATCAGTGGAGTTTCAACACTCTCTCGTAGTCACGTTCCTCTCTCACGTTGACCGCGATCAATTTATATCTTCACGTTATTCAGTTCAGCCTTCATGTTTCAAATTTTCGTGCCATTGCGTTTCTTTCTATACTGACGTTATTTATATTGTTAAAAGTTTTCTCGATCACGTTCTTTCAACGTTTCTTCTCATTATTTCTTTGTTTTTGTTTTCAATAAAAGTCGTTACTAAGCGGCATTGCAGTATTCTCGTTGTCGATCAATATATACTAATTATGTCTAAATACTCAACAGAATGAAGTTTTAATAGTCGTTTTATTGTTAGCACTGTTTATATTGGCGCGCACGCTGTTGGCCTCTGGTTTTCCGTTCACACATTAATAGTACCTCAACCATGAATATCATCGTTAACGTCTAAGTGCTTTGGAGAAATGGCTATGATTGTCTTTGTTAATATTTCAGTTCCTGCGCCAGTGGCAATTCGAATGTCCAAGTTGTACTCTTCAAACGGTAGGCCGGTAAATAACCGTAGAGTGCCCTCGTTGAAACATGTCCTTGAGCCACGTGCTTGCAGTGCTGCGTTGTTCTGTTCGTAAGAATGTGCAGGCTGGCTTTTGTCTCCAAGTCTGAGGAGATAATCCCGTTCGTTTGTACGTGACAACTCCTCACCAGAGTAATTATACTTCTCTGCTCGAAAGGCGGATAACTTTTACCCAGGATTAGGCCAAATCCTTCTCGTCTAGGAATTTGCAACCGGAGCTGATAGTTGTCGCTAAGGCTTTACCCATGGACCAAGCTGAACTTGTTAGCGACAGCCTAAACCAGTCTATAAGACAATAAACCCATTCGAGGGCTAATATTTTTGCCTAACTGACGTTAACTATGCTTTGCTGAAATTTAACGTCGATTCAGAAAGTCCTTTCGTGTGATAATTTCAACAATGAGTATGTGAACTTTTCTCCGCCGTAACTCAATTAGTCCAATCGTTTCCGTGTACGTCTTTCGTTATTAAAAAAAGGACTAGATTTGGCCTTTTTTTAATACTCCTTAATTAATTGTGGTCTATAAATAAATATAACAAATTGTGAAGCAGATGCAGAACTAAAAAAGACATCTAAAGAGGTCAAAAAAGGGTGCTACTACTGATTGCAATGCTTAGTGAATGTCAATGAAACATTGTTATGTAATGTGCAAGTAAATCGGTGTGCTTTCCAAAGAAAACCTGGAGCTCCTGAGAAAACACATAGAATTACGGTTGAGTTTAGCTCTGTTGTCAGAAAGAGGTCATGCTTTGTGTTCCCTTCGGGAAAAATTGCTTAACGTCTTTTTCTTAGACCTGGGGAAGACACTCGAGGGAAAGTTTATATAGGGGTGTACCAACGAGGCCTGCAAACCCTCAGTGGCGGATCCAGCGGAGGGGGCCCCTCTTATTTTTGGACCAAAATGAGGTCCGAAGGGCCGAAAAAACTATTTTTAAGACCCCTCCCTCTTCTTATCGGAAGGTCTGGGTCCGCCTCTGACCCTGACCCTGTTTAGACAAAATCTGTTCACTACCCTGTTTGAGACAAGAGACCTTTTTCGTCACCCTGATTCATTTCATTTTGGCTACAGTAGTAATTGTTGTCTACAACTCAAATCATAGAATTAGATTCTTAACGAACTTATATAGACCGCATATGAAGACCGTGCACCGCCATCTTTCTTGAAGCCTACGATTTTACACTCATTTACGTTGGTGCCTTATGTTATATTTCAAGAACCTCGGAAACTCTAGTGATGACTCAGCCTTTTAGGCTGTTCAGCATAAATACAATATGATATTCTTACTTCTTAGCGTTTTCCGTTCTCTTTAAAAGCGTCGCTAGTCTGTTCAGTTTAAGCATTTAGCTGGAAAAACTAAATTAACAAGCAATTAATGGAGTATTATAGTGAAGAGGTTTCAATTGGTCTCTGTTAATAATGATAATTATGAAGTACTTTTGAAAGGCTACTCAGTGGTATTAGTGGAATTTAGTGACTAAAGATTGACGAACTTTTGCCTCGCCTTTCTACGTGCGAATTCCCTTGTCATTAATTTTAAATTAAATCGATTCTCCACCAAACTCCTTTTCACACGCAATCAAGGATAAACTAATTACAGAATCGGTATTAAACGTCTGTTTGATTTAATGATTGATTTAATTTCTTTAATTTCTTGCTGACACATTATGTCGGAAATAAAGTTTTTTGTCTGATGGAAAGGAATGTTCGTGTGTCGGCGAAATGAACAACCAAGAAGCAAATATTGATGCGTGAGATACTTTCAGTTTTTAAGGTTATTTCGAAGCCATGAATAGTCATTCATTAGTACAAGTAGAAGGGAGATGATTTCCCCCCCGTTCAATTCCACAAGACCAAAAAATGCTGTCTTCTTTAATTATTTTTTTTGACCTTTTAAGCTCTTTGTGCGTCGCGTAAACGAAGTGAACCCCGTTGTTTTCAAGGGGGAGCAAAGACCTGCTATCTTACTGGCTTGCTGGTCTTCATTCTTTGCGAAACCAACGAAGCTGACGGGTGAAAACATATGGGTCTAACCCTAAAACCCTAATATCAAAGCTCAAATTCGCATTTTTGTCTCTTACGTATTCAACAAAAGTAGTGGCGAGAATTTGTTGGAGTATCAATAAGTTTCATTTTGTGGTGTGATCATGTCTGTAATTCTCGTGACCACTCTGGTTTCTACAGCATTGATTTTATGAGGAGAAATTCCACGCTGATCACTAGTAGGGCTTAAAGGGTTTAAGAGAGGAAGCACATCACTTTTTCCTTCGGTTTCTCCTTAGTTCTTAACTGTTTAAGCTTGGATATATTACAGTGAAACCTGGATATAACGAGCCTCTATATAACAAAATCCCCGGTATCAGTAATGAACGATTTTCTTTACCCCTGTAATAGTAAAATATATGAAAAAGAACCTCGATATAACGAAACCTCTTTATAGCGAACAGATTTGCCAGTCCCTTGAGCCTTCGGTATATCGAGGTTCCACTGTACCCTACTGAAAATCAATAAAACGTTTACTGAAAGTGAAGAGGATGTGAACTGCGGCAATGCAAATTTAAATGAAGATATGATTGTCGCTTTGGTAATTGCATTTTTAGCATTACAAATTAACTCGAGAAAAATGTTTCGGAACTTCAACGGGATTCGAACCCATGGCCTCTGCGTTAGCGATGCAGTGCCCTACCTACTGTGCCAAAACTACCAATTTCTTGCAATTGCTTAAATTGCAGTTACCACTGCGACGATCGTATTTTCATTTTAAACTGTTACTGCTGAAAAGTGCTCTACGAATGACTCCTTATTCTTACATTTCTTTCTTTTTACAGGTAAATCCAGACATTACGTGAGCTAGCCGTTTTTGCAAGTCTACCTTGCAAGTACGTAAAACACGCCGCGCATATGTTCGTCGATTAAACTACTTGCTGTTCTTTGCGGAGCAAAAGAAATGGATTGAGAAGATCATGTTGACACTGCATAGCGATCAGGGACTGTGAACTATTCTAAAGTATCAGTAAACAATGAAGATGTCACCTTGAATTCTTAAGTGACATATAGTAGCTGTGATACAAGGTTTACGCAGGGTATAGAGCTAGAACCTATAGGCTCCTGGTTGTACAATAGAATCTTGGCTTTCAAAAAATTGGTTCTCGAACCTTCCATTGTTCGAACAACAACCGATTTCTTTTCTCCGGTCAAACACTGTAATTTTATAACCCTTGATCTCGAACCTCTTAACCATTCAAGCCTTATTTCCATTTTCCCAGGAGGTTCGAAATATCGCGGGATTTTTAACACTGTTGTAGGGCATTATTAGATGTAATGTTAGAAAGAAGAATCACAACGCGACGCGTAGCACTAATTGACCTGAAATTCAGGTCAAACGAAACTTAAAGCCTCCAGAGGAATACAGCTGGAGCTACGTCCTAAGCCGCGGGACGGATGAGCTACGAGGTTGTTCTAACTAAAAGCTGTTGGTTATTACTGAACTTCTGTTAGGCTGTGCCGGTTACTAACTTTAAGGTATGCGTGAGAAAGAGGCACATTTTAGGGTGGTTCAGAGTAACCCGTTTTGAGCCTCTGAATAAAGTGGCTAAGAGGACACTAACGATGAAGTTCAGTAAAGGTCCTGTGTTTAAAAGGGATATTTCTTTTTAAGGTAAACTTTTGTGCTTAAATAAGTCATTTCTTAGTACGTTCACCCATACACAAAATTCTCCTGTAGGGCTGTGAAGAATATATCAAACAAATTTCACCACGAAGCACTAACCATAATAAATTCTGTGATGATTTTTCCGGGCATAGCATTTAAAATTGAAAAAGTTGGCCCAACTTTTTCAAGTTTCAATCCACGTTCATCCTTGCCATCCGTGGCAACAGACAACAGGAAACAGTGTCGATGCCTAAATATAGTCTAAAATAACAAAATTTGACCATTATTTTGGAATGCAAGTGATGTGAAAAAAAGTTTAAAGCTTTTGAGAAAGATAGCAAATAGCGTGACGTAGCCTCTTTAATATGACGTGTTGATATCGAAGTTGCGCGCGAAGATTCGACAAAAAGGGGTGGCTGGGACACTTTCCAGCCAGATAGTAGATACTTTTTAAAATAATGAAAAATAGCACAGAAAAAGGCGGACGCGGTCCCCTCTACCCCACCTCTACATCCGCCCATGCGAAGAGATCTATCTGTCTAAGGTGACAAGTTAGGTGAAGAGTCCGTGCTTGAACTTAAAACAGTGCAATAAGATCAATAAATTGTTGTTATGTTATCAGCATTGATGATGGTCTTTGTTCGTGGCGGTCTTCTCTGTAGTTGCTGTGGAGCAACAGAACGTTGCCTGGGGCAGTCCATGGTTCCACCCACCTATCTCTCTCAAGCTGTTTACTAACTTCCCAAGATCTTTATTACAATTTTTGCATGTCAACGAAACTTGCGACATGTCCTCTTAGGGATATTGCAATTTACATATGAAGATGTAGATGTCAGTTTTGAGAGTGCGCCGGGTATATCGTATTAAATTTACAGGGCTGTCTAAGCCAAAACAATTACGTTTGGTTTCACCAACTTGTCTTCTTAAAACACGTTTGCAATCTCTCTATTTTTAGTGTAATTGCCATTACTTTTTGCTGTCTTTTTCTCTGTCTCGCCGCCGCCACTCAAGTTTTGGAGAGTATAAACTCTTATCATTTCTACTATCTGCTATCTGCCTCTCTGTTGCACGCTGGAGCCATTGAAGATGTAATGTTATTCTGTTATTGACCCCCTAGTTACTTGAGCGGTGGGATTACTGCAGTTGTTCTTCCTTCCTTTCCAGAGACCAATTGGAGATCCATAACATGTGCTTTTCTATATGCCTCTGTGTTTATTTAGTTGTGCATCGAGGGAAATTCGTTCAGTAGTTATCCTTCCGGTTACTTAAGCCTTCTAGGGTATAATGTTGTCTCTCCTGGGTTAGGTTGCTAACTGATAACTTCACTTTAATCGTATTTCTTTGGTTATCTCAGGTTGAAAAATTAGTGTGCGCGTTAGCATTCAGCACTAGGTAAGTATTTTACAACTTGCGTAAACAAGACCTCCCATCTGGAAAAACGTCCTACACTTGAAATATTGCCACCCGCGGTAAGCAGGCTTTCGACTGAGGAAATATAAGTGTACCAAACTTTTGTAGAACACAGAGGATTGTGCACACTTGGAGGTAAATTCTTCCTAGTATGTCTTCGGATTTAATGCAGCCCAGCAGCTGTTTGACTGCACCCCTTCGTGAGTCAGTTCTGTGTTGTATTATTCACAATAGTATTGTAATTGCTTTAGAATTGCTTTTTAATTATTGGCATTGTTTCCAAGTATGTTAAACGAGTAATCTTCGCCTAGTGGACGATTATTTGTTTATTTTTGAATAGCAAAGGACATGCAAGAAGATAAGATTAGCAACTCTTTTCCTTTCACTTTTAGAGTTGAAATTTTGACTCTATGCAGGTTTGCAATGTGGCCAGCAACTAGAAAGTGTGACAAATTGAAATGAGAGTTTTTAGAAAGTGCTTATCATGTGGCAACAATCTGCCAACAACTAACGATTCACTCTTTGTCACCTTACGATACGACTTTGAGCACTGAAATAACACAAAACGTTTGATCACTTCAAGTATAGTTTGCGCGTGAACAAGAAAAAACTGAAAAACGTTTAGAGTGAATATTCTTCGTTCTTAAAACCGAGTACGTTAAAGTATTTACACCTGGACTAAGTAAGTGCGTAGCATACTGTGCAACGATAAACCCACCTCGCGCAGATAGACCAGATGCAGATGAAATTTTAACCTGACAGCTGCAATGTGTATCACTATCTTGACGATTTGTCTGGCTCGTGCGCGCAGGAAGTCGATCTTTAAATTCGTTTCAAATACTTCCTTTTTTCGGTTCGCCGGTTTTGATTACTGCATCTTGCCGGGACAAAGTGGCTTGTTTTAAACACATGAGTAACACTGATTTTAAGCACAGTTAGGTACTTGACAAGTGTTATTCTTGAGGGGTAATTTTGAACTAAATTATTTATTTTCTACATTTTTTTCTCTTCTTACAAAACGTAGAATTATTTTCAATCACACCATCTTGAGAGCTATCTGAAGTACGTTTTCAAGAGACTTGATCCTGGCTTAGTGTTAATATTCTTTAGACCGATTAGGCCTTGGGTATGATGCTATGTTTCTTGTCTCAGATCAGGAGTCAACAAGCGGGTTAAACTACTAGTCGCAATGGTTAAATCTGAAAGGTTTGTGACAGTTAATTGAGAACAACTGTCCTCTTATTGCACGCAAGCATCTGTAAGGGGCGAGGGTGGCTTTTTGTAAGAAGTGTCACTTCGCATGTCGCACCCCTGTAAACAAATTTAACCCTTAAACATGAGCTCGATGCAGTCCGGTGTTATCTAATCTTGCTGTAAATATCACCTAACAATCAAGCATGCTATGAATGTCACGAGAACTTTACGGGGAAGTGACATTTTTTTCAAAAGAAAGTAGCAACTCAATAGCTTTAAGCTGAAAACTTGAGCTCATGGAAACAAAAACAAAGGAGTTTATAAAAGGCGCCAATTCTTGCGTAAAGGTAAGGCAATATGTTTATTTTGGCAAGATCCGGGAATAGCTTAATGAATGGGGCGCTTTCTAGAAATACTTTCAAAAATCCTAGCAATCGTTTGTTGGGACACTGAGATTTATCTACCGAGACATCCTCCATTTGCAGGCTATAAGCGTCGTCTGCGGCTTCGTTAAGTGAGCTATTAGTTAATGTAGCCTTTAAAGAACATTTGGCGTACAAGTATGAAGATATTCTCAATAGTTAGCCTATTCTAAAGAAAATCGCATTCATTTTGACAGGACTTTTCAAAAGTTGCCACTAAAACGAAGGCAAAATAATCCTCTCTTATAAATGATTACTCCTTTTCAAAGCAAAAGTAAATATAATACAGTAGTGACCTCCGCCCAAACCCAAATCTTGTTTTAGAGAGTTCCGGTTCTCCTTCAAGTTAGCCACTGAGCGAGCAAGCTGCTGTTTAAGGACGTTTGTTGTTATTCTGTCACAATCGGACTTATGCCAATGTAACGAGCTGCTCAGAATTACAAACCAACTGCGTCCACTTTCTTTCCCATCGCTACGAAAACATATACAACATGGCTTGTCTTCACCCGCTTGGTCGAATGCTGAAGTAATTTATTTTTCAGCGATGGTCCTTTCCGTGAATAAACAAAACAACGTACTTAACGCACGCGCAGGGTTGTTAATGATGTTCTCGTAACCAGGCTTTAACCGACACATCTTCTTTCCATCAGCTTTTTCTATCTTTGTTGTTGTGAAGGGAGGAAAACGGAAGGGTAACTACAAAAAATAACGAGTATGTGACATGTGAGCAAGGCTTCTTGAAAAATCCGGGGGGGGTATATAATACAGTAGTGACCTCCGCCCAAACCCAAATCTTGTTTTAGAGAATTCCGGTTCTCCTTCAAGTTAGCCACTGAGCGAGCAAGCTGCTGTTTAAGGACGTTTGTTGTTATTCTGTCACAATCGGACTTATCCCAATGTAACGAGCTGCTCAGAATTACAAACCAACTGCGTCCACTTTCTTTCCCATCATCGCTACGAAAACATATACAACATGGCTTGTCTTCACCCGCTTGGTCGAATGCTGAAGTAATTTATTTTTCAGCGATGGTCTTTTCCGTGAATAAACAAAACAACGTACTTAACGCACGCGCAGGGTTGTTAATGATGTTCTCGTAACCAGGCTTTAACCAACACATCTTCTTTCCATTAGCTTTTTCTATCTTTGTTGTTGTGAAGGGAGGAAAACGGAAGGGTAACTACAAAAAATAACGAGTATGTGACATGTGAGCAAGGCTTCTTGAAAAATCCGGGGGGGGTGACCCATACATTCCCCACCCTAGAGTTTGGTATGGAGTATGGCAGAAACATTCTATGCGCTTTGCAACTTTCAAGTTAGGCAACTGAAATTTCTTACTTGTTTACAGTACCATTTTTGCCTACATATTACAAGTTGACCACAACTCAACTTCACTCAAAATGCTTTTAATCAACAAATTGTCAGTTGAGAGCTTACACGAACTTTTTAACATTATTTGTGTATTTTTTAACTTTCCAAGGATGCCCTTTCACATTGTGGTGTTGAAAAGGGTCATAACTGCAAATAAATGAAATTCTAAAGCGAAAATAAAAAATTAGTCAAAGAGGCCATACTTGTAGCAATATAATTCGATTGTACACGTGTATCCTTAAGCGCCATTAACCTTGTTTTGAACTGCCCAGCGCTGATCGGTTATTTATACTCGCGGCTAGCACTAGGCATCATCGTATCAACAGGATCGTATGGTACTGCTGTGTTCAAATCGTACTTAGGGATTGAAAAAATACAGTGTTTATCTGAGTTTGTTTTCCCGATCCCCTCGCCTATCAAATTCGTCTTTCAGACGGCGATTGTTTTGTTGCAAATCCTTTCTTTTTCAAATATTTCTCTCAATTGTAATGCCCTGAGTGATCTTGGATTATCTTGGACACACGATCTATATCGTCTTTCACTCCCACGTGCTATATTTTAAAATATTTAGCGTTCGGTGATTTTCACTTAAAGCTATATCCTTGTACCTCTGACGTCATTCTGTTGGATCCCTTTCGGCACTAATGACGTTTATAGCGAAGAGGTCTTGTTAGAAAGTGAAGAAAACAAGCATAGATAATGAAGATATTGTCAGTTCTCAAGACGAAAATGAAGTTGGCGTTTCTGCAGTATTTCAAGAATACAGAACGGAATGTTTTTACGTCAATCATGGGCATCTATTCTTGTCATTCTTATTTCCAATGCAT